AGTTGAAGCGCAGCCAAGATAAGTTGTGCCTGAATGTATTCGTCTAGGTCATGAAGACCAGTGACATCTGGGGCACCATCACTGACTACTAGATCAGCAGGTTCACCGCCAAAAAGTTCTAGTATACTCTGTAGCGTTTTGGGGTGTGTGATGTCTGCTTGTAGACAAGTGACACCTTCGATAGGACTCATTGGCTGAAGATCAACCGCAACAATCTTTCCTTCTTGACCATCCTTCTTGTTCAGGTTAAGTTTTTGACTAAGAACCTGAGACCATGAGCCTGGAGCTGCGCATAGATCCACCACACGATGAACTCCCTCGAAGATGTTGAACTTCTCATCAATTTGTAGAAGTTTGAACGCCGACCTTGCTCTATAGCCTCTCTCCTTTGCTTCTCTGTAGTATATATCTCTTTTGTCCTTTGACGACTTTCCCATGTTGTAGAGGATGAGCTTGATGATCTGCGCGAACAAATCTGCCTTACATATCTTGGTCTCTATCTTGCGCCAGGGGACGAAGTCGTAAAAAATCTAAAATAAAAGTGGAATGATGCAAATTCAAGACCAGTAAATCATGAAATCGAACACACACATTTTGCTACCAAGAACCATAGCACATGCTCACTGAAGAAATCCTACGAGCATTCTTTCCTCTCAGCTCGTACAAAGCCAAAATTCCGATTACCCAAACAATCAAATATCATTTTCAGAGTTTTTGCTTTTGATATTTAAGCTTTCTTCTTCTTTTATATCACATAGATAGCCTCTTTCATGTTGATTTAGGTAGTTTTGCACGTGACCTCACTGTCGCTTGACTGAGATTTTTTTCCAGAGACCGTTTACAAGATTTCTTCAATCAAGATGTTGCCCCGTCAGATGCTAGGGCTCAACGTCTCCAAACGTGCCTTCTCATCATTTTCACGTACACTCAAGAAGTATGATAAGAAGCTTCTGCCCAAAGAATTCTTGGAGAAGGAAGCAGCCGAGAGAGTCCAGAATGAGCAGTTCAAGCAGAACTTGTTAAGCAAAGAATTCACAGCAGAACCCAAGATCAAGTCCGCCGGCTCCATTCCCCTCAACTTGGAGCTTTTGCAATATAAGCCTATAAGGCTTCCGCCCACACATGGCCATGAAGTCGCCAAGCTCAAATTCAGAGGATACAACGAAGACCACTTGACAAGAGCATCCGAGTTCGCTGCCAGAGCCGCCTTTTACTTGGGTATTCCATGTTCCCGTGTGAAAAAGGTCAAAACGGAACGTAGATTATACACTGTGATCAAGTCACCCTTTGCCCAGTCCAAGAGTAAAGAGAACTTCTTGAGAATCACATACAACCAACAGTTGATTGCCTACGATACCAACCCAGAAGTGCTTGATTTGTGGCTTTCATACATCAACAAGCATGCATTGGAAGACGTCAAGTGTCTGGCCGAGATCACTACACGTGAAAAGCTCGACTTTGCCAAATCCTTAGATTCCATGACCGCCCAGGATGCTAAGTTCCCCGATGCTTACACAGACACCACCGACCCCATTGCCGCCAAGGTCAAGGACTTGTTGCAGTCCGAGCAGTTCAAGCAGCACTTCTAATGTACATAGCCATTTCGAGACATCCTGCAATATAAGTAAGGAAAACGAGAGCTCCCAGTCTGTCAGCATATTGATCTTTGTAGAGTATTGCAAGAAGAACTATCGTGAATGGGGAGTTTATAGAGAGTGCATGGTTCTAGACGAGTTAAAAGTCTAATTGAAGACCATGACAGTAGTAGTCAACGGCACCTCAACACCATGATCAAAATCACGCATACACGCCTCTCCACCTTGAGGACTACAGTAGATTCCATAATTCCAGACATTCCATTCCAAGCCAGGGCATAAGCCTATATTAGTCCCTGGCAGCGTGATAGGCCCCTGCATAGCTAGGTCATCAATAGCCACTGCCTCGTTTAGCTCATCGGTTGGCAAAACTGCTAGCCTTCCAGCTTAACAAAACAGTAGCTCATACGCCAGGGGATGCATTTCTCAACCGTACATATCCCAATCCTCCTCTTCCTCTTCGTCATCCTCGTCCTTGGCTCTCGCAAGCTCACGAGCCAAGCGCTCACGCCGAACACTGTCAGCGTCACGAACGTCAAAGCGGCATAGTGGGCATGACGAGTGCATCTTGAGCCAGGGGGCTATGCAATCCATGTCAAAGACGTGCTCACGGCGGCCCTTGACGTGACATGGGAGCTTTACCACCAAGGGGTACTGGGCATCGGCAAAGCGGTTGGTACAGATGGGACAGTCGGCGTTTTCCGGAAGCAGAGACACGTCGACACGCTCTAGTGAGTCAAGGAACTCCTGAGACACCCCGGCATCGGGCCGGAACTTGTCGCCGACCCGCTCCAAAGAAGCAATGATCTCCTGGAGAACCTCGGAGCCCTCGTCCTGGTTTATCGTGCGTAGAGCCCTGTTAAAAAGCTCCCTACCCAGATGCTGCTGGCCCTGGGCATCGACGGATGTGTCGGCGATGAAGCTCTCTATGATGCTAGACAAGGTCTGATGATGCGGTTGCTCGGTGTGGCGGCCACGCAGGCGCTCTTCCAAGTTGTGGTCGTCTGAAGTCAGCATTTGCAAAAGAAAAAAAAGTAGTTGCAAAACATACCTTCGTAGGTCATAAGAAGAAAAGCAGTGAGAAAAGATAGCGCCACTGGTGATAAGCCGGAGCGGCTCGTGATGGGCACACGCCCGCGAAAAAGCACTAAACAGTCTGGATGCATGAATGGGGGGACTGACAGCCCTCAGCAACTCCGAGCAAGGGTCCCTTGTTCTTTCGCGCAAGACAATGCCCTAGCTCTGATCGAATGATGCTTCACTCTCGGGTGCACTCCTCTCCGCTTGCCTAGCATTCCACCCTAGGCCCTTTTCCCCTATCGTCTACTCCCTCACTTTCGCCTGTACTGAGTGCCTGTAGGTGTAGGCTGTAAGCTGTGGCCTGATATGCGCTGGACATACAGCGGCAGGAACCGAGGGACTGGGTAGCCGAGGGAGAGAGACAGGAAGAAGCAGAAAAAAATAAAACGGTAGCATTGCATTCAACGAAGCGTTCCTCTGAAGCTTCCAGGTGGGGGGAGTGCCTTCAGGATAGGGGTATGCTGGGGGAGGTATGGCAAGGAGGCGTCATGGTAAATAGCCACGGTTGTTTAGCGTTGATGCTGGTGGGTTTACCGAGGTTCATGACGCAAAGCCAGTTTTTTGATCGCATTGAGATCTTCCATGACCGGACGTGGGTGGGTCTGCTGGTATGGCTGCGAAATTCCAGGGCCGCAGCCTCAGCTGAGCATCTATACACTGTCCGGCACAGCTGCTTGCACGGCTAGAGATTTCTTGCAGGGACTAACGCTGTCTGGCATAAGCTAAATGGCATATCTAATTTTCCATCTCGTCCAGCTCCAGTTGGTTCTCCGGGTCCTCGTCGTACTGGAACACGTCCCTTCGCTGGCCATACACAAAGTACGAATCGGCCTCCAGATTGAGGTGGAGCGGCGTCATGGGCATATCCTCCATCGGTGTCTGTACAGGCGGTAGCGTAGGCAGCTCGTCGCCGCGATTGGTCCTGCGACCAGCCTGGGCGTTGTGTAGTTGAGCATTGTGCGGATGTAGCTGCGTAAACTGTAGACAGCTGCGTTTGTAGGAGCCCGAAAGCGACTTTGGCGGCGTTTGAGAGCCTAGCCAGAATCTCGACGGCAGGCTGCCGAGCGACGTGGGATCCAAATTGGGCAGATCCGGTGCAGAAAGCATCCCGGCGGCGTTTCTCACCATGGGTATGCTTTGAGTGTTGGACTCCTGGCCCACTTGCGTGAGCTTGTGGTAGGGCTGGAGCCGTTGATGATGCAAGTGGGTCAATGAGTTGCGCAGTGCCGGCCCGTGGGAGTTGCGGCGGTCTACAATGTGTGGAAGCTGGCCTATCGATCCTAGGTTGTTGGCGTTAAGTGAAAGCAACAGGATCGTCAGCGAGCTGGGAAGAAGCCTTCCGTCGCTGTCTTTTCCGACAGAAGTAGCTAGAAGTTCGGGCTCCGGATGCTCGTCCGTGAGCCCCAGAAACTCCTGTCCAGGCAGCCTGCTAATCGGGATGCCCCGATCCTCTTGGTTCTTCTGTGCTATCGCAGCTGATAGTCTGGAACTGTGATCAGAACTGCGTTCTTCTGATTCCAACAGAAGGTCCCCTAGCTTTGTTCGGATGCTATTAGTGTACGACAGAGTCATTCTGAATGTGTGTGGCGAATGGCTCAAATGACTGTGTGTTGGGCACTGTCTCCAGAGTTCACTTTATATATCTGTGAATAAAGCAGCACCGATAGTTTCGTAAATGTTGTTGTGTCTGTGGAACAGCGAAAGAGTGTGGAGTGGGCTGGTGAATTTTCAGTGGTGGTTTTTTCTGGCCAATGTGGAGGGATACGATCACGTGAGCCAAGGCACCCCGAATAGAAAACAAAACAGACTAGCGGTGATAACAAAAGACAACCATTGACGGTTTTTGCGCGGCGTAATTTTTGCCACAATGTCAAATTTCCCCTTACAATACCAGTGCCATTGCTTATTATCTCCATGTGTTTAGGAGCAAACGAGTGCGAACCTGTCCGGTGGGGAAGGCAATGATAAGGCAACCGAGATAACCGGAGATAGGTGCAGAAAAACCCCTCCTCTGGATCGTCAAATAAAAGTTTTCTTGCTTCCACACAAACCCAATCTCGGTAATTTTCACAGAAGGACCAAATTGCAGATTTTGGGAATTTTTGGCGCTAAAAGTACCACACTGGTCCACTTTGGCGATTCGGCGACTGAACCCTGGCTTAGAATTGGTGTGCACCTGGACCGCGCCGATAGCGATAAACTGCACCTTATGCGCGAGACATCGCTATCTGGAGAATTTTAGAGCTTGTGTAACTATTTTTGAATATAGGAGCTCAGGTTAGGTTGCTTAAATTAATTTTGGTCCTCTATTTAATCTATGTCTGTCTAATATTCGCCCTCGTCGTGAGGGTCGATCTTGAAAATTTTGTCTGGGTTAAGGATACGTTTAGGATCAAGGGAAAGCTTAAGCTTACGCATGGTATCGACTGCGTCCTGGCCGAGCTCAATACTGAGAAATTGTCTCTTGCCATTGCCAATGCCGTGCTCTCCACTTGCAGTACCCTCGTTTCGAAGTCCAATCATCGTAATTTCGTTGATGACCTTATGACATTCATGGAGCTGGTCGGGCTTGTAGAAGAGGTCGGCGTGTAAATTGCCATCACCAACATGGCCGAGAATCACAGACTGGAAACCGGACTTCACCACAAGCTCTCTGATTTCGTCAACCACTTTGGGAAGTCGTGAAAGCGGCACGGCAATGTCAGTGACCCATAGTCTCACGTCCTCGTCAATCTCGTTCTTTCCGTAGTCAAGAATGGAGAAGAATGCATTTTTCCTGGCCGCAAAAAGCTCATCACCTTCTGTCTTGTCCTTTGCAATGATGAAGTCGGCACACTGATTCTCGAGCGATACCTTCCTCACGATCTCTAGGGTTTCATCGACGACTCTTTTATTGAGACCGCCAACTTTGAAGAAAATTGTGGGCACCTCAAGCCACTTTTTCGAAAGTTGTCCGCTGTAATTAGTACAATGCATCATATCCTCATCTAGAAGCTCAATGGCCTCTGGGCGGATACCTCTTTTGAACAATTCTGCGACCGTTTGGGAAGCCAGGAGTACCGACGGAAACTGTCCCACTGCAACAGTTTCATGCTGAGGCTTGACTTGGAGTTTCACTGTTGCCTCTGTAACGATACCAAGCGTGCCCTCGCTTCCAATGAAGAGGCCAGTCAAGTTGTATCCGGATGAAGTTTTTCTAGGTCTCTGTCTCGTTTTAATAACCGTTCCATCAGCAAGCACCACAGTCAATGATATGACGTTGTGAACCATGGCGCCGTATCTGGAAGCATTGATACCGGAGGCATTGGTGTTAACCATTCCACCTATTAAACCACTGGGACCACAATCGCAGCCAAACATCATCTTCTCGCCTGTGAGCTGTTCATTGAGGTCCACCCAGTTCACACCCGCTTGAAGGGTTGCATCCAAATCATCATGGTTAATCTGAAGCACCTTGTTCATTCTGCTCGTGTTCAATATGATTCCACATCTGGTGGAGAATGTGTGTCCTTCAAGTGAAGAGCCTCCCGAGTATGGAACCACCGGCACATTGTACTTATGAGCCACCTTTAAGATCTTCGAGACTTCTTCTGTCGAGTATGCGTAAACAATGTATTTTGGCTTTTCGTGTGGTTTTGGCGGGTGGGGCGTGAACCCATTGTCTGTATGGCCTGTAATTTCTGCTGGTGACTGGGTGACATGGTCGTCGCCAACAGCCCTTTTTATTTCATCAATGGCGGTTCTTAACTCCTCTTCAGTGCTGTACTTCGGTGAGTCTATCAGCTCCAACTTTGTCGTGGAGGACCAAGGAAAAGCATATTCTGGCGGATCATTTATGGCCCGTTTTCTGCCTAGATAATATCCAGCACTGCCCAAGGACACTGCTGCAACCAAAGCCGGAAGAATAGAAGTAGCCTTCCTTGGTTTGGTGCTGTATGAATTACAACGCCTCGAGAGTCGGGAAAGATTCCTCCATCTGAACATAGCTATGCTACGAAGAATATTTTTCGCTACTGATAATATTTCAATTTGGCGAGCGCGCTTATCAACGACTAATTGTGGCGCCCTCTCGTAAGTGGGTTTCATGCACTACTTACGAAGAAGCCTTCAAGGTGGGGGAGGTATTCTCGGGATAAGTTTCGACACCTTTTTGAAAAACATTTTCGGCAGCCTCGATGCCATGCTTGCGGAAACTCTTCATTGGTTTCATGCCCCATTTCTTCAACATGGCGATATCCTCTTCCCACCCACTACACATGGTAGTGAGCATGCGTTCACCGGTAAAGATAGCATTGCAGCCGGCTGAAAAGCAAAGAAACTGTTCGTGCTCTTTCATGGTGTATCTTCCTGCAGCAAGACGAATAATAGACTCGGGCATGATTAGCCTTGCCGTAGCTATTGTTCTAAGGATTGCATCAAACTTTAATCTTCTCTCCGAACCAATTGGAAGTTTGGAAATCTCTGCTTCCATTGGAGTTCCTTTGATGGGAACCAAGCGATTGATTGGTAAGGACTCTGGATGTCTCTCCATCGTTGCCAAAGTGTACAAAAAACTAACATGGTCATCAGGAGTCTCACCTAGACCTAAGATACCTCCCGTGCATGCTTTGATACCTGCTTTCTGCACATTTTTGATCGTTTCAAGACGATCATCATAGGTTCTTGTAGAAATCACACTTGGATAATGCTCTCTGGAAGTATCGATGTTGTGATTGTAGGCAGTCAAGCCGGAGTCCTTGAGAACCTTTGCTTGATCTTCATTCACCATTCCTAATGTAACACAGGTTTCCATCTTCAACTCGTCGTTTATCCATTTCACCATTTCGGCGATTTTCTTCAATCCCGACTTACGACCTTGCATATCTCTCCAAGCGGCTCCCATACAAAATCTTGTACTTCCATTTTCCTTGGCTTTTATGGCTGCTTTTTGCACTTCCTCTAGTTTCACTAGTTTTTCTGCTTTGGTTCCGGTATCATATCGACTGGACTGGGAGCAGTATTTGCAATCTTCAGAGCACCCTCCTGTCTTGATGTTTAGCAAAGTGCAAAGCTGAACCTCAGCCGGGTCATGATACCTACGATGCTGAAGTTGAGCTTGGAAAGTTAATTCCAGAAGAGGCGTGTTGTAAATTTCTTTGATTTCCTGTTTGGTCCATTTGCTGTGTGGTTTGCAATTGATGGCCAAATTAATCGCTTTGACAGGCGACACAATGGAGGGTTCACTAAAAGCAGCTTTTACTCCCAAAGTTTTGGCAGAACCAAGTGTGGCACTTGTGGCTAATTTTCGGATAAACATAGCACAAATTCGTAAAAAAATTTGAAGATGGAAGATGTAGCGAAGGTTATCTAGGATCTACGAAAAAGTTCGTCCAATGAAGGATCCCCTATAATAAGAGGCCCCGCCTTTATCTTGCAGGGAGTCAAATTGAATCATCCAGATACGCATTTCGCACAATGAATCATCTGAGTCACCCTTGACAGCTCCGAGATTCGTGTCACTTTTGCACTCACACATATCATTCGAAACAGCTCTTTGATTGCAGTGAAGTTATATAAAAGGTAAAGAGAGGTCTTTTAGGAATCCTGAGAGTTACCGGAGCTGGAAGGTGACACCACTGGCAATTATGTAAACCTATTAACAATAATCCTTGACGCACTTTTGAACCACCATCTAGCTCGCTAGTCTAACTGATGCAGGCTGTATTTAGAAAATACGACAGCACTGTTTGAAAGTAATGGAGGCTCTTAAGCTGTCCATTGCAGTCACTAGCGTAAAGCGAGGCGCGCTTAGGGTTTGAGCCCTAACCTGCACTTGGACATTTGGTGCGACACACCGTTGATGCGCCAGTGAAAAAAAAAGGCTGTTCTCAAATTAAAAAATCTTTGTACTACCACATTAGCAATGGCTCCAATTGTATGTATCACCTAAGTTATGAACAGATATCGACCAGACAATAAACCTTGAACGGGAAACCCTATTCATATTTGGAACTGAATAATTCATTTGCCTTTCAGGCTCCAGAGTGTCTCGCTATGAGCACCTCTGTAATTTCTAACACCAACGCTACAGTATTGGATTACTGTGGAAAATGAAAAAGATTCCCGTCCTGGGGGCTTTGCTGTCTTTATCTGACGGGCTTTAAGCTCGTTTTGATAATTCACGTACGGTAGGCTAACAGGATTCTAGACCACCAAGAACACTCACGCCCCTAAGAAGTTCGTCGTTGACACCTCCGCTCCAGTGGAGAACGCTGTCTTCGACCAGGAGGCTTACGTTAAGTTCTTGAACGAGCGTATTAAGGTTGACGGTATCATCGGTAACTTGGGTGACGCCATCACCATCACCGAGGAGGGCAACAAGGTTGTTGTTGTTTCCACCGCTAAGTTCTCTGGTAAGTACTTGAAGTACTTGACCAAGAAGTACTTGAAGAAGAACCAGCTCAGAGACTGGATCAGATTCGTCTCTGTCAAGAGAAACCAGTACCAGTTGCAGTTCTACTCCATCGATGACGAGGAGGAGGAAGACGACGAGTAAATGCTTGCAGTTGTATAATACATAATAGTCTGAATAGTTTACTTGATTGGGAAAGGTTAAAAATATGCTTTGTAGCCAGTAGGATCTTAACATCTTGGTCCGATTCAATCGCCATTCGCTGAACTGATGGCAATGAGGGATCTGAAGAGGTTTCGCCATCGGAATACTCAAAGGTGATAATTCACTACAATTTCATTCATGCTACACAATACTGAAACCATTATACTCTCGTCTGGAGCCAGGAGATGCAATCTAATGGCTAACTGAGATTGGAAGTTGCCCTAACTACGTCAATGTTGGGCCCAGCTCCCTCATATCGCGCCAAAAGGTTCTCTGGTGGTGAAAGTAATGGCCACTGGTGTCACAATTTTGAAAAATTGGCCTTTAAGGGAACAGGGTCCAAATATGAAACATATCTCAGGTCTCAACCAATGAGACTTCAAGAGACTCCGTGGCCAAGCTGGTTAAGGCGTAAGACTGTTAATCTTGAGATCGTGAGTTCGATCCTCACCGGGGTCGCTATCTTTTTTATTTTTTGTTGATCAGCCCTACTCGGACCAAGTTGCTCGTGTTCCCAGTCTCAAAACGTCAATCAAGTGCACAGAAGTAGGATGCCCCGCCTATGCGCACTGTCATATGAGAAATTCTGTTTTAGGTAAAGTGAAACGAGACGAATAGTTAATCTTACTAATGGAGGTTCAGTAGATGATTCGGTTAAAACGAAATAAACTTTACGCCGTCAAATACTGGTACGTCAAATGAGGCCATAAAATTCTGGGCTCGATTCGGGAAAAAAAACGCTTCTTCGCAGCAGGCGTCTTACATTCAGATAATTTTGATTCGCTTAGAGACCATGCGACAGAAGCTGTCAAAACAACAACAATCAAATTTTACAAATCTCAGAGATCAAGTCGATCATTATGGACAAGTCTAAATCCGTACTGTGAATTTGTTTCACATCTTCTCTTTATCTCCACAAGGAGCTTAGCGCTTCCTAACGGCCGGGCTTCTGCATCTCCACTATACAGTTTTCTCAATGTGACTGATTCCTCAAGCAAAAAAAGGCACAGTCTACACCTCTTCTCCACAAGACAAGACATTCGAAAAGTCACAATGGAGTCCTTGACTAAAGCGTCCATGAAGGTTTGTCCCTTCGTGAAATCCAGATCCACTCAGGCTCTTCGTCAAATGAGCGAGGCTCTGACCTTGAGTAAGCATGCCAGAGCTTGCCCATTTGTGGGTGCTGCCATGGCTGCTAGAGAGTACTCTCAGTCTTCCAAGCCTGCCGCTGCTTCAAGCGCCCCTGCTGGATCCTCATCTCGTATTCCTGCTGGTTACTCCTTCTCCGGAAGCGACTTGGTCTCCAACACAATGGAGATAGTGGACAGATCCTCCCAGGAGAAGGCTTTCGACTACGACGGCTTCCTTGGTAATGAGATCACGAAGAAGAGAACAGACAAGTCATACCGTTACTTCAATAACATTAACCGTTTGGCTGAGGAGTTCCCAAAAGCCCACTTGGGTAGCGAAGGCGAGAGGGTCACCGTGTGGTGTGCCAACGACTATTTGGGAATGGGAACCAACGAAAAAACAATCCAGGCCATGAAAACAACCTTGGATAAGTACGGTGCGGGTGCCGGTGGTACCAGAAACATCGCTGGGCATAACCGACATGCCATCGCCTTGGAAGCTGAACTTTCTACTTTGCACAAGCACGAGGCTGCTTTGGTTTTCAGCTCTTGCTTTGTGGCGAATGACGCTGTGCTCTCACTTTTGGGCCAGAAAATGAAGGACTTGGTGATCTTCTCCGATGAGTTGAATCACGCCTCAATGATTCAGGGTATACGTAATTCGAGAGCCCGAAAGGAGGTGTTCAAGCATAACAACTTAAAAGATTTGGAGGAGCGCTTAGCCAAGTACCCAAGAAACACCCCCAAATTAATCGCTTTTGAGTCCGTTTATTCCATGTGTGGTTCCATTGCCCCAATCGAGGAAATCTGTGACTTGGCCGATAAGTACGGCGCTTTGACTTTCTTGGACGAAGTTCACGCCGTTGGTATGTATGGTCCTCATGGTGCTGGTGTTGCCGAACACTTGAACTTTGAGGAGCACTTGCAGTCGGGTTTGAACAGAATCCGTCCAGACTCTGTTATGAACAGAATTGACATGGTTACTGGTACCTTAGGTAAAGCTTACGGTGTTGTCGGTGGCTATGTCACAGGTAAGCAAAGTATGATCGATTGGATCCGGTCATTTGCTCCTGGATTTATTTTCACTACTTCGTTGCCTCCTGCTGTCATGGCTGGTGCTTCCGCCTCGATCAGACATCAGAGATCAACATTGATGGACAGAATTGCTCAGCAAAAGAACACTAGGTATGTCAAAAATAATTTGGGCAACATTGGTATTCCTGTTATTCCAAACCCTTCGCACATTGTGCCAGTGTTGGTCGGCAATGCCGCTGATGCGAAGAAAGCCTCGGACTTGTTGTTGAACAAGCATAACATCTACGTTCAGGCAATCAACTTCCCTACGGTTCCTATTGGACAAGAACGGTTGAGAATCACGCCAACTCCGGGACACGGTCCTGAGATTGCTAACGAATTGATCGGTGCGGTTGACTCCGTTTTCAATGAACTTAACTTGAAGAGAGTTCCTGCTTGGGAAAGAGAGGGAGGTCTTTGCGGTGTAGGCGAGAGCAACTCGCAACCTGTGAAGCACATTTGGACTGATGAGCAGTTGTCGTTGCAGGATCGTGACTTGAACCCCAATGTCGTCAACCCTGTGATCGCACCGAACGCTGTGAGTTCTGGTGTCCCCTTTTAGTTTCTTTTCAGTTGTTAGTTGAATTTTCTATATGCCAATGAATATGTCAATTTTGTCTACCCAACCTCTTGTACTACTCACGAGTTGTATATTATGCACAGAGCATCTGCAGTCGGTACGCGTTTTCATAACATCAACAGTATAACTTCATCGCAGATTAAGTACCAGGATCACGGTGAGAATGAACGACGACTTTCTGCCAACCCAAATTTACCTAAATAGGTTAGTCGACTCATTGGTTCTGGCGGAATTTGGGACATCCTATAAAAAGAGCCTTGTGAATGCTTTGTTAGGGCTCATATCTGGGGAAACCAAGGATCCTTCACAAATCACGGAAGAGATACGAGCCCATTTTCTCAAATTCGGCACCGAAAGTAACTGGAATACTTTTAGCACTATACTTTCATCCCTTCCTCAGCAAAGAAATGCTGAACAAGTAGCTTCGCACCTACAGTTCCTCCTCAACCTTGTTCCAGATCAGAAGGGAGCATCATCAACAAGCTTACCAAACGCCAGGACGACCCCCCTGGTTCTGTCTTCACCATTTAATCAATCCTTTGCTCAATTCCAGAATCTGAACGGATTCACCGCTGAGCAGCCAAAGCCATTTGACGATGTCCTAGATGACGAGGCTATCCTACCGTTCCTTCCCAAAACACTTGTCGGTCTTGACACACAATTGTTCACATTCACGGATGCATACATCAGCATTCTGTCGCCTCTTGCCAGAGGACTATTCCAGCTAATCAACGATCTTTGTGAGCCAGCCATACTTTATAGACGTCTCCATGGCTCTGTTGAGAAACTAAGAGGCAACAATCCTTCACCTATAAAAGCTGCCTTCATGCAAGTTTTGGGTTCAAAATTGACTAGCTATGCGTCAGATGTCAGCAGCATCTTTCATAAGAATCCCAGATCACTACTACATGTGTATCATGAACTTCAAGATGTGATAATTGAGCTACGAACGTTAGCACATCTACATCAACAAATGGAAGTACTTGATGGGTTTCAATTTCTTGAAGAAACTTTCAAGCTTGCAAGCTTCGGAGATTTCCTTGTGAGACTGCTGGCGAGTGTTGTCTACGATGAATTAAAGAAACCTTACTTCCAATACATGGAGCACTGGATCCTCCGTGGTGAGTTGGTTGATTCATGTAATGAGTTTTTTGTCTCCTTCGATGCTTCTGCTGATCACATTAATGATATCGTCAAATTTCATCGTGAAAGGCTTCCATTATTTATGGACTTCAGCGAAGAAGACTGTAATAATATCTTCCAAATTGGCAAGACGCTCATCTTTCTAGATAAGTTCTGCAAGGAACTTGAATGGCTCAGCGCTTACGTAAAGCACTATTCAGCCTATATTTTTAACGAGAATCTGGGTTTGATATCGCTTGACCGGACTTCCCTCAAGACACTTTTTCAGGTTCAGTTTGGCGAGCTTATAAATTATCTTAACTCGATGGCCTATCATAAGTACGATTTGTTTGAGCATCTATCGAATTTGAAAAGGATTATGCTCATAGGTTCAAGCGACTTTGTTGAGCTGATCAATGAAAGAGGACTTCAAATGTTCAATGAGCCAGCCTCATCCTTGACATCCGGGAAATTGGCAGGTTTACTTTCGAGTGCAATTGATAACTCCTCGATTCGGATGTTGCCCCAAAGGTTTCAACTGCGCATAGACGCTCGGATATTAGATTTGAGCCACGGAAGTATTGGATGGGATGTGTTCACCTTGGAATACAAGCTTATGGATCCCCCACTAGAGTTGCTTCTCAATGACAAGAGTCAATCGACGCATTATTTGCGTTTGTTCAATTTTTTGTGGAGCTTAAGACATTTTCAATTTCTTTTAAATAAGAATTATGTTGACTATGTCAGGTTGCAGAAGGATTACATCTCAAAGCTTCGCGTCAAAAACAAGCTGCTGACTGGAACACGCATTTCTAAAGTCCGCCAAGGGTGGTTTACTAAGTGCCTCAGGACTACGAATTTAATTAGGTTTCGTCTTTCTAAGCTTGTTTCGGCCCTTCTTAAATTTTTGTCATATGATTTGATCGAGCAGAATTTCCAGGAAAGAATTGTGAAGCTGGCTTTTAAAGGCACATTAAACGCAAGTCCACAGTTTACGAGCCTGGCATCGCGGAAAGACCGCAAGCTTCCCATTCTTGACAAAGCCTTTGCTGATGCATTTGCATATCAGACAAGCCCGTCTTTTCCAAAAATTAAAAGAGTTTCATTGGCTAAGCTTAACGTTGTGGAGCACACCATTGATGAATTGACGGCGATGCATCTGAAGTATCTAAAAGGAATCTACGATTGCAAACTTATCAACGAAAATTACAAAGGAAAAATTAGTCGAGAGCCGTTGATTGATCAAATTTTCAGCTTCATGGAAATTTTGTTTGCATTTATCAAAAGCAGTGAAGAGTTCAGCTCCTCGGTAGTGAGTTACGTCAACTTGCTTGACTTGAGCACGTCGGTCGATACGAATGCAGGTATTGCGTTCGAGGGTGATTTGGAACATCTTCACGTGCGCCTAGCAGACCTCATGAAAGTGATGTACAATGACCTCTTTAAGAACAGTTTTGAGCCAAGACTCGATATTTTTACGAAAGACCTTCGTGCAGATTTGGATCTCAAAGATTTGAGCAAGATGGTGTGAGAAGAAGACCTAAAAAATATGTGGTTGTTATCGAGAGGACTGGTGGTGCGCAACCCCACAAAACCACAAAACCCAAGCCGAGAACATGAAAAACACCCGACTGTTGGCACCGAATGAAACCACGTCTTCAATAGAATGAAATATCGCCAGCCCGAGAAAATTGTGGCTGTCCTATAGGTTTGTGGTTGAATTACAGGTATTTTGTGGAATAATCTCTTGTGCGCAGATGTGAAAAATCACTGGCAAGTCCGAAAAAGTGATAAGGGACAACGGGGCCGTGGTGTATCTCGTAAATGAAAAGTCCGTCTAAGTGCATATTTGCGCAGCCACGATGACAATAGAAGAGAATTGAGAATGTCAGCCGGGAAGAAGAGATAAAATTGCAAATAATGCACACAGTGGGAAACACTCAATCTGGTTGGTAGAGAGGTTTCTCGGCCTGAGGAACCGCGGATTAAATCTCGAGTCTTGTTTCCCCGGACTCTCATCCGCAGGGACAGAAAAAATCCCGGAATATAAAAATTCACCACGCTGCTAACGGGTTTCTTTTTCTTTTTTTTTTTTCAAGTCCGTCTTATCGACAAGTTCCTTTCCTTCCAAATTCATTTCTTACTTGCTTTCACAAAGCACAAGTTTTACTAGACTATATACCTGGTTATTTATTACTGATAAAAATCGTCATGGAGGAAGTTGACAGTGTTTTGGTTGATAACATCAAGAGTTTCGGTTCTGGTGGTTTCGGTGGTGTTTGTGCCGTTTTGACCGGCCACCCATTCGACTTGGTCAAGGTTCGTTTGCAAACGGGTGTCTACAAGTCTACCGCCGAGTGTCTCAAGGGCACTTTGGCCAAAGATGGTGCACTTGGTTTCTACAGAGGTGTCATGCCTCCTTTGTTGGGTGTTACCCCTATGTTTGCTGTGTCCTTCTGGGGTTACGACATGGGTAAAAAGCTTGTCGGTTCTTACACCGGCAAAAAGGCCGAGGACTTCACCATTGGCGAGACTTCCACTGCTGGTTTCATCTCCGCCGTGCCCACCACTTTGGTCGCTGCTCCTTTCGAGAGAGTCAAGGTTATGATGCAAGTCGCTGATGGCAAGAAGACTTCCATGGGTGCTGTTGTTGCTGAGATGTACAGAACCGGTGGTATTAGATCTATTTTCAAGGGATCTGTGGCCACTTTGGCTAGAGACGGTCCTGGTTCCGCTCTTTACTTCGCTACTTACGAATACTTGAAACAAAAGTTGTCTACTCCAGGCAAGGACTTGTCTTTGGGTGCCATTTCTGTCGCTGGTGGTTTCGCTGGTGTGGCTATGTGGCTCGGTGTCTTCCCAATTGACACCATTAAGTCTACACAGCAGTCTTCCAATGTCAGCATCTCGATTGCCAAGGCCACGAAACAGATCTACGCCAAGGGCGGAATCAAAGCTTTCTTCCCTGGTGTTGGACCTGCTTTGGCCAGATCCTTCCCTGCCAACGCCGCCACTTTTGTCGGTGTGGAGGTTGCAAAGAACTTCTTCGAGAAGCTTTAGACGTTGCTTGTATTTATTATATAAAATGTACAGTTTCAATTCGATGAGTGTAGGGTACCACTCAGTTGCAAACTGCGGCGGTTTCTGCAGAGACCATGTAAAGTACAGTAGGGTGGATTTTTGACGCCAATTGCTCAATTGTGCCCGATTTGGTGCCTGTGACGTAACCAAGCGGCCCTGTCATTTGTGAACCACAAGAGTGGTAGAGTCAATGAATTTCCACTAGAGTTCGATTACAATCATTTTATCGCTTTTAAAGTCCCAAATAAAATTATTTGACTCCCCCGGGCGAGATCTCTAGAAACCCGATTCGATTAGGGCTGTTTCGGGAGCACACCCGTGCACCGTGCGCTCCCAAGCTGGACGACAAAGCTGGCAACAAAAAAGTAGAAAAAACCCACCACTGCAAAGTACCCATATATCAGCTTACCCTGGTGCCCGCTCTTGTTGTCCCTTTCTTTTCCAGCATCAGCTCGTATCTTATAATAGCATTAGAGCGCAAGAGCCCCGGGACAAATTGCGACGCCCATTGATTGTTCCTTGACCGACGGAGAGACCATTTACATAAGCAGACCACATTACCACAATTTCCCATAACATGGACTTGGACACAGATGTTCCCATGGAAGATGCCTCGGATGAGCAAGTCCAGCCTACAAAGGTGGACGACAGCAAGCAGCTAAGTAAAAAGGAGGTGAGTACCTCGTCAATCAATCAATTGGACCAATGGATTGAAAAGTTGTCTCAGTGTGAGCCACTTTCCGAGCAGGATGTTAAGAAGTTGTGTGACATGGCGATTGATGTTTTACAATTTGAAGAGAATGTTCAACCGGTACAAGTGCCAGTGACGATATGCGGTGACGTCCACGGTCAGTTCCACGACTTGATGGAGTTATTCAAGATTGGCGGTCCTTGTCCAGACACAAACTACTTATTCATGGGTGACTATGTTGACAGAGGATACTACTCGGTGGAAACGGTGTCTTACTTGGTGTGTATGAAGGTGAGATACCCAAACAGAATCACCATTTTACGAGGCAATCACGAGTCGAGACAAATCACACAGGTTTACGGCTTCTACGACGAGTGTTTGCGTAAATACGGATCGGCCACTGTATGGAAGTTGTTTACTGACTTGTTCGACTACTTTCCTATCACCGCCCTTGTGGATAACAAGGTCTTCTGTCTTCATGGTGGTCTTTCCCCTATGGTTGAGACCATTGATCAGGTGCGTGAATTGAATAGAATCCAGGAAGTTCCCCATGATGGGCCCATGTGTGACTTGTTATGGTCCGACCCAGACGACAGAGGCGGATGGGGCATTTCGGCCAGAGGCGCTGGTTTCACTTTTGGCCAGGATATTTCAGAGCAGTTTAATCATACCAATGACTTAGATCTTGTTGCTCGTGCACATCAGTTGGTGATGGATGGCTACTCGTGGTCCCATCAGGAGGCCGTGGTCACGATTTTCTCGGCCCCCAACTACTGTTATAGATGCGGAAACCAGGCCGCCATCATGGAAATGGATGAGAGCCATCAGAAACAATTCTTACAGTACGACCCCTCAGTGCGGCCAGGTGAACCTACCGTCACAAGAAAGACGCCGGACTATTTCTTGTGAGTGGGATCCTGGCAGCCTTGTATACTACTGGCGCTGGAGTTGGTTCGGTGGCTTGCACTTGTTGCTTCAAATGCCTGGATGCCTCGTCACTGAATGGTTGCAATGCAACTGTAACTACTGAGCTGCGACTATGGCCGTTGCGTCTTAGGTCGCACCAAGCTCATACCACTCTTCGGCGACTCCATACATGTTCCGATGTGCTTCCAGCACGCTTCATGCATCACGACTGTTATAGCTTTTTCTTTAAAAATCATGTCTTATACCACTCTGTAGTACCAACTTGTTCAGCCAACCAGAACAAGCTTATTCGCGTTCCTGCAGGAGGATCCCTCAGCCAAACCGCTTCAACCAAAAAATCATCAAGTCTTGAAAACCATAGTCCTCGACATGTTACGTGCAAACATTAGAGCCCCTGTTCGCTCCTTGTACACTTCAGTGTTGGAGTCGGACATCAACATTTCCCGTAACGGAAAGGTCCACGTGGCCAGCGGTCCCGGCGGTCGTTCTTCCAGAACTGGCTACACCGCTACAGTTTTTGGAGCCTCTGGTTTCTTGGGCCGTTATGTTACATCCAAATTGGCTAGACATGGTACCACCACCGTTGTTCCATTCAGAGACGATATGAAAAAAAGATTTTTGAAAGTCACTGGTGACTTGGGTGTGGTGAACTTTGTGGAGTTTGATGGAAGAAACTTGCAGTCCATCGCCGAGTCTGTCCAGCACTCTGATATTGTCTTCAACTGTCTTGGAGCTGACTACAACACTAAGAACTTCTCCATGGCCGATGTTAACATTGAGCTCACCCGTCGTATTACCCAAGCGGTCAAAGATGCCGGTAACCCAAGATACGTTTACGTCTCCTCCTACAACGCTAACCCTGCCTCGGAATCCGTGTTCTATGCCACCAAGGGTATTGCTGAGCAAGTTGTTAGAGACATCTTGCCTGACTCCACTATTGTCAGACCTGCCCCTATGTACGGCCGTGAAGACAACTTGTTGAACTACTTGGGTCCAAAGTTGAAGATGTGGACTCCAAACAAGAACGCCAAGGAGATCTGGCCAGTTCATGTGCTCGATGTGGCCCACGGTCTTGAGAGAATTGGTTACGATGACTCCACCGTTGGTCAAACCTACGAGTTGTATGGACCTGAGAAATTGTCTTTCAAGGAGATCAGAGAAATGGTTCACGGTATTACTCAGGATTTCTCCCAGGTTGGTCCATTTTCATACAACTTTGCTGACTACCAAATTCCATTGTCGTTGGCCAAGTTCGTCGCTCAGTTGAAGCAGTACGTGTACTGGAAGCAAACTAACCCAGACCAGGTTCAAAGACACTTGATTAACCAGGTGATTGATCCTTCTGCCAAAACTTTTGCTGACTTGGGCATTCACAAGACCGACCAGTTGGCCGATGTTATTTTCTCTTACGTGAAGCACTGGAGACATCCATTGATTGCTCAGCAGGGTGCCCCATCGAAGAAGGAGACCAACAGATTGCGTGAAATGGAGCACTTCACCTAAGCATGTAGATTACACTAGCATATTTAATACAAACTTACGAACGGAATATAGCTATTCTCGTAATTACCTGTTCCACCTGCATCCAATTTGTCTCGGTATTCTCCGGGCTTATCAGTGATATATAGTAGGCTTGATTTCTCAATGAGTGATTTCATTATTCATTATGTCTACCCTTCCAGATCCAGAGACGCTTGTTAAATTGAAAGAACCCAAAATAAGGGATGTTTTAGGTCATCTATTTGAGCCTTGCCCAGTCCTTTGTGACTTCCTCATCCAACAAGTGATCAATAGGCCCTTTCCATCATACACAAGTCTCATTGAATCGTCAAGAAAGGAACTTCTCCAACTTTTGGAAAGAGAAGAAACTAAAAGCACCATATCCCCAGACATTGCATCTATCATATCCGCTCACCCTAGACTTGGTCCATCCAAGGATAAATTGTCATCCCACTCCACACTGGAGCAGAAGTCACTTGAAGGTTCAAAAGAAGAAGCCCAGAAACTTGCTGATCTCAATGCCAAATATGAGACTACTTTTCCAGGCCTTCGTTATGTAGTCTTCGTGAACGGTCGCTCGAGAGAAACCATAATGAAGAACATGATAGAGAGGATACAACGCAATGATATCTCTGCTGAAAGGCGTGAAGCATTCAATGCTATGTGTGACATTGCTTTAGACCGTGCTACAAAGTTGGGTGCTAAGCTTTGAGTGATCAGTATAGGTAATTGACAAAAATACAAAAGTGAATGAATAACGAAAGCTCTTACATCAAAGTAAATAAGTACTCTGTTAATTACTTTGCTGTGATCATTGAAAGAAATTGTAGTTTGTCTGGATTAAAGATTTCATAAGCATGCTGAAGTTCTCAAATCCACTACGAATCCTGCTAATTACTTGCGAAACTACAAGAAGTGCGATTCTCGGGAATGTCCAGTTGCTATTATAATTACTAGAGGTCAGACAAATTTCCGAATTTTTTGCTTCTATAAAACTTCTGGATGCTGAATACTAAAAACAAGCACCCTTGGCACAATTGGTAAAGTTATGTCCCTTGGGTGCAACAAAGCAGCCTGCATGCCCATTTTGCAACCAATTCATAATCCTAAAACTCTACATAGGGCGAGATCATTCGAACTATCCACTCAAGGGAAGCAAATTATTGCTAAATTCACTATCTTAAGATCGAAACATCTTATTCTTCTTTTGTTTACCTAATCGGAGTGTACTGGAGAAAGGGGCACGTTGTATTTACGACAAATGTTAGTTTCACATCACATAATTTCTCACCAGATTTGTAGTCAATTGAACGTGATATCGTTTTAATTGATAAAATTCGATCAAACTTATTACGGCTATATTATCATTCTAACTTGAGCCTTGCAACTGACGTAGTTGCCACAGGTATTAGGCCGCGCACGACGAGCGTTCATTAACGATAAAGCCAATTCACCGTCTTGAGTGAGCTACGATATCGATAACACACAATGGTATGTGAGCTGCACAACATTACTTCTTCATTCCTCCTCAATTCATTACTAACAATCTCAGGCTGGTGGTTTGGAAAACGCTAGAAAAGAAATCAAGCGCCTTTCGATTGATGACGCCGCCGAATCGCAATATGGCCAAATCTTCTCTATCTCTGGTCCAGTCGTGATCGCCGAAAACATGCTTGGAAGTGCTATGTACGAGTTGGTTAAGGTTGGTCATGCCAATTTGGTTGGTGAAGTTATCAGAATTAACGGTGACAAAGCAACCATTCAGGTTTACGAGGAAACCGCAGGTGTCACTGTGGGTGATCCTGTTTTGAGAACAGGTAAGCCATTGTCGGTGGAATTGGGTCCTGGTTTAATGGAGAACATTTATGATGGTATTCAAAGACCTTTGAAGGAAATTAAGGAGAAGTCCCAGTCCATTTACATTCCAAGAGGTATTGATGTTCCATGCTTAGACAGAGTGAAGCAGTACGACTTCAACCCAGGTGCTTTGAAGGTTGGTGACCACATCACTGGTGGTGATATCTTCGGTTCCATTTACGAAAACTCTTTGTTGGATGACCACAAGATCTTGTTGCCTCCTAGAGCCAGAGGTACCATTACCTCCATCGCCGAATCTGGCTCCTACACTGTGGAGGACCCAGTTTTGGAGGTTGAGTTCGAAGGTAAGAAGCACAAGTACTCTATGATGCACACTTGGCCTGTCAGAGTCCCAAGACCAGTGGCCGAGAAGTTGACCGCCGACTACCCCTTGTTGACTGGTCAGAGAGTCTTGGACTCTTTGTTCCCTTGTGTGCAAGGTGGTACAACCTGTATTCCAGGTGCTTTCGGTTGTGGTAAGACTGTCATCTCACAATCTTTGTCCAAGTTCTCTAACTCCGATATCATTATTTACACCGGTTGTGGTGAGCGTGGTAACGAGATGGCTGAGGTGTTGATGGAGTTCCCTGAGCTTTACACTGAGTTGAGTGGTAAGAAGGAGCCTATTATGAAGCGTACTACTTTGGTCGCAAACACATCGAACATGCCTGTCGCTGCTCGTGAAGCTTCTATCTATACTGGTATCACTCTTGCTGAATACTTCCGTGACCAGGGTAAGCATGTTTCTATGATTGCTGACTCTTCTTCTCGTTGGGCCGAAGCCTTGAGAGAACTTTCTGGTCGTTTGGGTGAAATGCCTGCTGACCAGGGTTTCCCTGCCTATTTGGGTGCCAAATTGGCCTCTTTCTACGAGCGTGCCGGTAAGGCTACTGCATTGGGATCACCAGACAGAATTGGTTCCGTTTCCATTGTTGCTGCTGTGTCTCCAGCTGGTGGTGATTTCTCCGATCCCGTGACAACTGCTACTTTGGGTATTACTCAAGTTTTCTGGGGTTTGGACAAGAAGTTGGCCCAGCGTAAGCATTTCCCATCTATCAACACCGGTATCTCATACTCTAAGTACACCAACGTGTTGGACCCATACTATGAGAAGAACTTCCCAGGCTTCAAGGCTTTGAGAACCAAGATCAAGGAGATCTTGTCGAATGCTGAGGAGTTGGAGCAGGTTGTGCAATTGGTCGGTAAGTCCTCCTTGTCCGACTCAGACAAGATTGTCTTGGATGTTGCTAACTTGATCAAGGAAGACTTCTTGCAGCAGAACGGTTACTCCTCTTACGACCAGTTCTGTCCTATTTGGAAGACTTACGACATGATGCGTGCTTTCGTGAGCTACCACGATGAGGCACAGAAGGCTGTTGCCAACGGTGCTGCCTGGAACAAGTTGGCTGAGGCCACTGGTGACGTGAAGCACTCTGTTTCGAGCGCCAAGTTCGTCGAGCCCTCCGAGGGTGAGGACAGTGGTCGTAAGAACTTCAACGATTTGTTCACGAAGATCAGCGAACGTTTCGGTGAAGCCGCCGAGTAATGAGATCGTCTCCCCACACAAAACTTCAATTTCATTCATTGCACCAAGTGCATTTTTATCTGCTTAGTTTACGTTTAGAGTTACTCATACCATCGGAGTGTAACATCAAACACATTATATTCTCGAACCAGTAATTTGTATTAACATAGACACCACGCACACATCGACGTTGAACCTTCATTGTCTGCGATCTTTATATCCTCTAGAGCCTCCGCACGAGGTGTGTTCACTAAAGCATTAGGTGAAGGCTCGTTGTTTATGATGTCAGGACTGTTTCTCGGCAAGAAAAGAGAACTTCCATTTTGCGCCGAAGTTTCTTCCATTATAGGCGAACCAGCAGGTGCTGGTGCATTATTCTGAGCTGTTTGACTCGATTGACGTCCTCCTGAGAACCAGTTTGTCCAAATAGGCTGACGAGGAGTTTCATCATTCGCTTGGTATGGATGTGCAAAATCGAGAGGAGCGTTGGGATCACTTTGACCATCCAGTGGCCTGAAGCGTGCTAATCGGTCCAGCATGTATTCAGAGAATGGGTCCATGAACAAACCAGAAGGTAGATCGGGACGCTCAACTTGCTCTGTGGGCTCAGGAGGGTCATGTCGACCATGGTTAACTTCGAAGTTTGGAGTTACGGAGTTAGAGACTTCTGAGCCGTATTGGTCTTCCACAATTGCACTCGAGCCGTAAATGGGGAACTCGTCTAGACTATGCACATGGCTGAGCTTGCCAGTGGATCTGATTTTTGTCAAATTTGCTGGAAGAGAGAGCCTGTGTGTTTGAATCTCCCTATGAGTTTTGAAATCAGGTAAAGTCTTCACTCGAAGCGGTGGAGAAGGTGCAAAGGAAAAGGCGCCAGAGTTACACTGCTCTTGGTATGCCCTTATGTGATCGAAGCCGCCTCTTTCGGGCAGAAAAGGAAATACGGTGTTCTCAACATGCTCTTTTGGCCGATCGCCTGGCAGCTCATTTTGTCCATCTTCTGGTGAACTCTCCAGCATGGTGTTTATAATATGGTATCGCCTTTGTGGCCTTGTACCAAAAGTCTACAGCCGTTTTGCAACCATTCTTGGACCCGTACACCATAGGGAGTTGGACAGGTACGGTCATTGTCGATGGCAGCGTTATAAGAGGGTATCAGAAATTGCAAGACAAAAGACCTAGTGGCATTTCATAATGTGCTAGAAATGCCTACGACGTTTGCGTTCACTGAATCCCACATCTTCTTGCTGTTCTCTTTGAACAAAGCTCTTGCCCGCATAAGTGATTATTCAGGGTGATGTTTAAGCAACGCCAACTTGAGCAACAGCAATTGCGTATGCAATTGAATGGAGTCCCTAGCCTTTCACATCACCGTCATGATTAAACTACAGACATGTAAATCATACCGTAGGCATGTATTGCTATGTACGGACATCTCGATGGGATCATAGTTTTTCAACTAAAGTTCCATTTGAGCGTCAGACTAGGCTGTCCAATTACTTGGATCTAGCTCTAACCTTCCGTCTCTTTCTCTTAAGTCTTCTAACTCTCTTCTTTCTCCACTTATCTCTCATAGTGAATAAATGGTCTGGAGGAAAAAAGAGAAATATGTGTAGGGCCGGTCGCGCTATATATGAGTCTGGCGACCGGTGACCGTCGTGCAATACTCACCGAATATGAGTGTCCTTAATGTGAGCGTAGCCCTTGTGTGACTGCTTTTTTCTCAGCATGCACGTGAACAAAATCACGAGCCCACAAAGGATCATTGTACACTCTCTTCAGATAACTGTTTCTCTAGACGAGCCAGTTCTTGATTCAATGCTTTGTGAAGATCGTCACGGAGTTGCTCAAGTCCACTGTGATCCACGATTCTATCAACGGTGTCGTGGGTCAAAAGGACCTGTTCATTCTCACTGTTATCCTCAGCTTTGACCTTAGCAAATGTAGCGTCAGCCAAATATGGAACGTCAAGTTTTGGGCAAGCTTGAAATGATAAATGCGTAGTATCAGCAGGCGTAGGATCCAATGACTGGTCACCCTCGGTTTCCAACAAGTAGCCCATGTTCTTCACGCCCATCAATGCCTTGACGTGACAATACAACCGATAAGCCAAATAGAAGCCCGGAACGTTGGGCATGACAGGAATAAGTGCAAGGGGTAATGAAATGGGGACGCCAATGGCACACCAAATCGCCCATTTGCGATGGTAACTGCTGTAAAGATCTCTGCATTTGTGCATCTGGGAGAGGATGGCCAGTGCCTCCTGAAACCTAGGATGGTAGAAGGGGATTGGTTTCAATTGATCAACAGAGACATTCTTCTCGCTCATATCACCTGTTACCAAAGTTTTTGGCATCTCTTTAAGGTGCTCCTCATTGATTTCTCGCACCATGACCTTCTTTGCTGGGAATGACTGAAGGCAACTTTCATCGTACGGGATCGTATTGAGAAGCTTGTTCGCCAACACAACCACTTTTTTGTTGATGGTAACGTTTGAAGCCTTAAGCTTGTCCCATCCCTTACGAGCCAACCCAGTGATCTTAGCCTCTGCGCGTACGTAAAGGGGAACTTTCTGGCTGCTATCTAGGAATGTCAGCTTATGGTTGCAAAATATATATGAGCGATGCGTAGTGATGGGGATCGAAACAATATAAAGGGATTCTGGGTCGAAGATAGGTTTCAGAGTCTTTGTAGACTCAGCTGCAGAATCCAGTTTCTGTTCAGAAGCCAAATATCTGATCTGGCCATCATGTGGGTACCATGGAGATAACGAGGTGTGGCCTCGAGATGCCCCATTCTTCTCGAGATGTTTGCAGGGTTCCACAAGTGACGTGAACCTTCTCACGTGAACACCATGGCTGAATAGAAGTGGTGATGCAGCCCTCTTGATTCCGGAAACAAGCATCAAGATGGTTGCTGAAGGGGCAAATGGCTATCGAACATTAGCAAGGCGATGTGGGGAAGTGTGCAGGAGGTTGCAACTTTACCTCGGGCAATTTGGGAGGGTCACATGGAAAGATTATGGTTGGAGTCATTTAAAAGAAGGGAATTGAAGACGAGAAAAATTTGTGGATTGATTAGAATGTAGAGAATTTCCTCTAGGGAATTGTCTCTGGAATTACGGGTTTAGCAGCCACAACAGTCATATGCCAGAGAAGACGCACAAGGCTGCCAACGGTTAACCGAGCCAATTGTGGTCGAGAAACAAAAAATCCAACTTCGCAACTTACTGGCGACATGTTCCTTACAAACTTAATAGGGAACAGAGACTTTAAGAATCATTTTCGAAGTTCCAGATTCCGAAGTGCCGCTTAGCCTCGCATCGTTATCACTCTTGCCCAATGCGGTACTGTAAGTAAACAAGCTCAAAAGCAGACCACCAAGGCAGGGAACATCCGATTCTTATGTCAAACATAGTTATATCAATCAAAAAAACATTTATCGAACCTTCAATTTAATATTACACAAGCCAATCGCCTTGCGCTGGGCTTGCTAACTAGGGTCCAAATAGTCGACCTGCATTGAGAAGCCGATTTGCTACATACCTCAGTGCAGAATTGCAATCATTTCGCTGCCTCACCCAGAACACAAAAGCAGGTCTTTCAGGTTCAACATACCCTTCCAATGTCTTCGGAGCGTCATTCGAATGCGAAGGCAGACCAAAACGGGAATTTCTATCCCTTGGATCCCGTTGCAGATACGCCTCTTCTGTTCTACTCACAAACGGCCGCTTTGGTACCAACTTACGTCTTGGACAGACTAGCGCAAGCTCACCACAGGGAGCAGAACAACACGAATGTCAACAACGGCCAGGCCGATATCTCACATACGCTAAGAGCTCAGCATCAGAACAAATGGGACGACGAAGAGCAATACCAACTGTTTGCTAACGACCCGTTTGTGAAGTCAATTGGCGGCAATTGGAGCAATTTCATCAAAACCGTCAGAATGCCCGAGGTATACCCGCCTGACCGTATGGACGAGGTTTCCACCCTAGCCGAAAGAGCCGACTTCAATGAACCTTGGGGAGGAGACGAAAGACTTCGGCTTGCTCTCTTGGGTGCATCCTCCAATGACTCCGTTACAGACATAGAGAAGTCACCAGGCCTATTTGGCAAGATGTTCCACAAGAATACGCAGAAACCAGACGAAAAGGTTCGACATAGGTCACAGGCTGGCTACTGGATGTCGGATGAGAAACGAGCAATACTTGTGCCCACGTTGAAGAGGATCTTTATCAACAACCCATTGGTGCCACTTCTCTTGCGAATCCTCATCCTTATCTTCTGTGTCACCTCCTTGGCCCTCGCTTGTACCATTTACGTCAACTCAAACAAAAAGTACGAGGACTTTGAGGTTCCACAGCAGGCTGGCACAATCATGGCAATTGTGGTGAACTGCTTTGCTGTGGTTTACGTTGTCTACATCGCATACGACGAGTATTCAGGAAAACCAATGGGATTGCGTAATCCACTGGGCAAGATGAAGCTTATTATGTTAGACTTGTTCTTCATCATCTTCTCGTCTGCGAATCTCTCGTTAGCATTCAACTCGATCACAGACCGAGAGTGGGTTTGCCATGACTCAAATTCAGATGTCCTCAAAGAAATGGGCATCTTCTATCCTCCGGTTTCGTCACTATGTCGTAGGCAAAAGGCGCTTACATCGTTCTTGATACTAGCGCTCTTTATGTGGGTGCTCACCTTCACGATATCCATCATTCGTGTGGTAGAGAGGGTCACTGTCGGTGAATCGAGAACAGAATAGAGTAATAAAATTGAATTGGGTTTAGCAATAAAATATAAAATTCAGTAAAAAGTCGTGGTTGCATTTCAGTAGGACTCAGTCGCCTAACACCACCTCCTGCATCCTCCACCTACCACAATCGCAACAGGTCTATCTCAGATTCACCAAGATTCTTCTTCTCTCTACTTCCTACAATACTCACCCAACATGTCGTCACCGCAAACTTTACCAATAGCAGGTGACTTAGATGCAACGTGGAATTTCATTGAGCCTGGTCTTGAGTTTATCCTCGGTGCCCAGGGGGACCAGGGCGTCACATCCAGGATGTATATGAACTGCTACACAGCAGTGTACAACTACTGTGCCAACAAGTCTCGAAACCTGAATGTGTCTGTTTTCAGTAAATCTGGTAAAGACAAGACCACCTATTCTTTGACTGGCGCAGAGATCTACAACAAGCTACAAGACTACCTAATCAACTTCATCACCACTTTACAGAAGGAGCCACACGAGCTGTTTTTGGAGTTTTACGTGAGAAAATGGAAGCGTTTTACGATTGGAGCTGGCTACATGAATAATGTGTTTGATTACATGAACAGATACTGGGTCCAGAAGGAGCGCTCTGATGGCAGGAGAGATATCTTCGATGTCAATACGTTGGCATTGCTCCAATGGAAGTACCACATGTTTAACAACAACGCCGATAAGATAATGCATGAAGTACTTGACTTGATAGAGAGGCAGAGGAATAATGAGATCGTTGATACAAATGTTATATCTGTGGCTGTTAGATCCATGGTTGATTTGGGCATCGACACCAATGATTTGAAGAAGACAAACATGTTGGTGTACACAAAGCACTTCGAGATGGATTTCATGTCCAGAACGGCAGACTATTATCGTAAGGAAAGCGAGAACTTCCTTTCACTGCATAACGTCGTCGACTATATGATGAAGTGCGAGAGCAGGTTGTCCGAAGAAATCTCCAGATCGAACAACTACTTAGAAGAGCGCAGTAAAAGGCAATTACTTGAGGTGTTACATGTGGTGTTGATCAGAGATCACGCCAACGAGATGTACGACCAGTTTTTGAAGTTGCTTGAACAAAACGAGATCGACCATATACTGCGGATGTACAAGTTGTTGTCGAAGGTGCCCAGTACTTTGCAGCCTTTGGCAGACAGCTTGGAGAGCCACATCAAGGTCGAAGCTGCAAAAGCAATCGAAGAGCTCAAGTCTTCGGCTGAGCCCACAGGCGCTCCACCACCAGAGGAAAGAACAAAGAGATCTTCACAAGGTCTTATTTCTCCAAAGGTTTACATCCACACGTTGATTCTGGTCTACATGAAGTTCAACGATGTGGTTTTTAATGCATTTAAGAAGGATCCGCTTTTCATTAAAGCTCTTGACTCGGCATGTCGTCACTTCGTTAATATCAATGTCATCGCCACACCCAACCCAAAGAGCGCAAGCAAGACGCCCGAGTTGTTGGCAAAGTATGCAGACAGCTTCTTGAAGGCAACCTCCAAGGAGGCAGATGTTGCCAACATGACCGCAGACAACTTGGCTCTCATGTTGAAGTACATTGACAACAAGGATGTCTTCGAAAATAACTACCGCCGTTTACTCGCAAAGAGATTGATCAACGGTAACACCAAATCAGATGAACTAGAAGAAGGCATGTTGCAAAGGTTACAAGAGGGCAACTCGATGGAATTCACCTCCAAGATTAGCAAGATGTTCCAAGACATGAAGTCGCTGGAGGACTTGAAGATGAAGATAAGAGATATCCTCGGAGATCGTGCCGTGGTGAACGACTTTACGCCATTGATTTTAGCTCAAAGCATGTGGCCCTTCCACCACATTGAGGACTACAAGCTTAAGGTCGCACCCGAATTAGAGGACACGATCAAATCCGTTGAAGAGGAGTACACAAGCAAGCATAACGGTAGGGAATTGCAGTGGCTTTGGAATCACGGTAAGAGTGAGATTAAAGCGAACTTGTCAAGAAAGGGCAAGCCACCCTTCATTTTCACCGTCACTAATGTGCAATTAATGATCATCCTAGCTTTCAACAAGAACACCACATACTCCTACGCTGAGCTTCATGAGATTGTGGGAGTGGCAAAGCATGTCTTCGAGGCACACTTGACTCCACTCGTCAAGTTCAAGTTGCTTGAACAGCTGCCCAATACACCACTGGAGTTTAGCTCGCCTACCACAACATTCACCATTGTCAACGAATACAAATCCAAGAAGTTGAAAGTCAACTTCGTCAGCACGATCAAGAGTGAGCAGAAGCAGGAAGACGACGACACCAACAAGGAGATTGACGAGTCGAGAAAGAACTACCTTACCGCTAGCATTGTGAGAATCATGAAGGCAAGGAAGACCATGAAGCACAACGAGTTGGTGAACGAGGTGTTGCTTCAAGCACAATCTCGATTCAAAGCAAAGCTTATTGATCTCAAGAGAGCCATTGAGTACTTGTTGGAGAAGGAATACATAGCACGGTGCGATGGTGACTCTTATGAGTACCTCGCCTAGATATAATGCACGTAATGTCTATATAATGAGATGCGCACCTATGCTGTAATACAACATGATGTCAACTCACTTAGTCAAAAACGGCGGACTGGGAAATGTACTATATAATGAAGCCATTGTTTTCTCGGGCCATGAGGGAGCTGTTCTCACGGCCCAGTTCAGTCCCTCAGGTGATAATATAGCCTCTGGAGGCATGGATCGAGATATCTTGCTTTGGAAGCTTCCCATAGATCCTGAAGAAGAACTACCGAATTATGGTGTTTTACAAGGCCATAAGGGGGCTATAACATCTTTGAGATGGACGCTGGAGTATGGATTGCTTTCTGGCTCCTCAGACACGACAGTGGCATTCTGGGACGCCGAGACAGGAACCAAGAAGCGAGTAGGCAAGAGCCACTCTGCGATCGTGAATGATTGTGCTTACAAAAGTCAATTGGGGTTCTCTGTGGGTGATGACGGGGACGCAATTGTTTGGGATGAGAGGGAGAAGAACGAAGTGCACAAGTTCCAGCTGGAGTACCCTCTATTGGCTTGTGAGGCATCTCAGGACACTATCTATGTGAGTGGAATTGACTCCTACATCAGAGCATACGATTTGAAAACGAGAAAACTTGCTTGGAAGACCCAAGCATTTCAGGCCCCAACGACTTCGTTGGCACTCAGTCATGATGGCAACATGCTTGCAGCCAGATCAATGGATGGTGAGATTAGGCTAGTCAGCACGAAGAGTCTCATGACAGAGGGAATAAGCAGGGTTGGTAAAGCATACGATGGAAGCGTTGGTGGATCGCAAAAACATCTTGTTAGAGTTGCATTTTCGGCGGATGATAGTCTACTAGGTCTGGGATCGGAGGACCCCACGACCGTGGTTTGGGGAAGCGCTTCTCGGCGAATGGTCCACAAGCTCAATGATCACGGGAAGGCAGTGTTGGATGTGGACTTCCACCCAACCGAGAAAATCATGTTGACAGCTTCTGCGGACTCTACTTTGGTGTTGCGAGAGCTTTAATCTATTGCCTGAACTGAACCCTTCTTCGCTTGGACTTTGCAACTTTAGGCTCTGCATGAACACGCTTCGGCTGTGAATCTATACTGAGAAGCTCTTTGTTCGATTGAGCTTTAGTCGGCTTCTGTTGCTTCATACTGTTGAGCTTATCTAGGTTATCTTGAGTAAAGAGCCTCATGGTCCAGTCGTGATGAGTAATGCCATTGCGGTTGGAAACTGTCATGATGTGTGATTTGAGAGAGACTTCATCCGGTTCGTCAACGAAACGAAGTCTGGTGTGCTCATCATGAGCAGGAATAGAGAATGGAGCGTGCTCCATCTCATGGGTCTTGGTCAGCAAAAAGTCATGCTTCAAGATAAATTTCTGCATGTCTTTGTCATCTATCATTTCATGGCTTGAACTTTCACTATCGACTTGAGCTCTGCGCTTATAGATTTCCTCCTCTAGGGTGCCACGCAAAACAAGAGTTTCGACGAAGACCTCTTGAGTTTGCCCAATTCTATGAGCACGCTTTATTGCTTGAGCCTCCTTAGACCTGTGCCAAACTGGGGATATAAAATATACTCGTGTCGCTGAGATGACGGTCAAACCATGTGCTGCAAGGCGAAGGTCCATGATTAATACAATACCACCATCGAGATCAGCATCATGGCGATCGAAGTCTGTGAGATTGTTCGACCGTTGACTAGCCCCAATGAATGTAGCATATAAAATATACTCTACTCCGATGATATCGAGAAACTCAGATAGGTAGTATGCGGAGTCCTCATACTCGAAGAACACAATGGATTTGAGTCCAGACCTTTGGTTTTCCACTAAACGTGTAGCGAGGTAAGAAAGCTTTGATGATGCCGTTCCAGCGATTGAAGCTTCTTTGATATTGCACACTCTTTCAGAATACCCATTGGCCGTTAGCAGCGACCTCACATCTCGAGCTCTTGCAACATTTTGTTTGCTTCTCAGTATTTCAGCTTCCGAATCGATTTTGGAGTCAATCAAGTTTGAATGCGAAATGGCTTCGGCTTCTGAGGAGCCTGTGTGACGTTTACGAGATTTATCCTCTTTCTGCTCAGCTTCCAACCAATAGCGTTCCCAAAACGGCCCGGATATCTCCCTCAATCTCGTTTCGACCTTCTCCTTATCTGTTATGTCTAGAAACCTATTCTTGTAGTAGAAGTTCTGCAAGGCAGCAAGGTGTGGTGCACCAAAAAGTGAAGTTGACTCCCCTAAGACCATACCAAAGTGATTAACAAATTGTGATGGGACACCCTCAACATAGTATAGCATTTCGTGAAGAGCAGCGGCTGTACGCCATCTTTGATTGTGCAAAGCTTCCAATGAGGCCTCCATAGATTTCTGGAGAAGCTCTCTATCGAAGGAGGAGTGATAATGATCACCAGCTGCTGTCTTCTTTTTAAGACAGTGGTCGGCAATTTTGCATAAAGTTTCCACATCTTGCTGTTTGAAACCAGTCCAGTAAAAGGTCGCTAACTGGAGATTGTTCACTAACTTTCTTAGCTGTTGGTGATTGGAAGCTTCAAACATATAATCAGAACCCTCACGTTCAGAGGACACGGCGTTAACGGCAAGAACGGCAGTGAATAGATTAATTGCAAGCTTATTTTGATAAGATGGATCTATGAAGACAGCTTCGTGATGAAGCTGAGGCAATTTCAAATCCTTCTCCACATCCGAAAGTCCGTGACGGACCAAAAGCACGTTCAATAGGTGTCTTAAACTGCTTTCCGTACTAAAATTTGCAGCCGTCAAATTGCGAACGAGAATGGAGCCCCAAAGCCGAGGTTGGCTGTAATAAGGCTCGATCTTGAAGAAGCTCGAAACAAGATTACCCACACGAGCTAAATCGTCTTTGACACTGAAGCTGCTTTTTACAGTATATTTTCTCTTTTTGCTCGGACTAGCGGTTACGGGCTCCTCTTCATTCATGTGGAGATTCGTTAGTCCGGAAGTGGGTGTTCCGGTAACTGCCCAAACCCTCTCACACAGTAAAGCCTTACAATCGGAGCTGAGACTTGAAGTTCGCAGACCCATGGAGTGCCCTTCGTCAATTATAAGCCGTTTCCAGTGTATCTTTCTCAATATGCTTTCCTCTGGTCGGCTCCATTTTTGAAACAGCGGGATTGTCATCACCACAAGATCATATTGGATTAGCTCCTGTGGTGAGGAGGGTAGATTATTCGTGTATGAGGAACTCTCTGTCGTCATGTGCTCCTGAAAGCGGTCAGAAACAAAAAGAGACCTGAGAAAGTTTGGCAGAAGATGTTTGACCATCTCGCTGTGCCACTGATGAAAGAGATTCTCTGGCACTATGACCAAGGTTGTGCTACAGAGATATAACACACGAAACCGATCTTCCATGACAATGGCATGCCGTGCTCGGAGTCCAAGCTGGTTCTGGGCGATATGAAGGGGTAGCTTGAAAAAACCAGGACGATATGTTAGCTTTTCCACTACTGAATCCGGAAGATCGTCCTTGAAGAATTTCCATGGAAGTGAATTCTGAGATATTGAGTCTCGGCAAATTTCCCAAAGCGACTTCATCCCATGAGAAAGATCAATAGGGCGTTCATTTACGGTGCCGTCCAAGCCTTGATCGTCGTGAAGAATTGCATCTTCGGGAATAGTTGAGAATTGGTGCTTCGTTAAACATATCAAGGAAAGGCAAATGAGTGTTTTTCCGAGACCCATATTCTCCGCTAGGATACCACCCCTAGGGAGAAGGAATGTGTCGGGTAACTTGTGGAAGTCCATATCGAAGATGTCAACGAAGTAAGTATCTCCACGTGGAGACACCACTTTTCTATAATTGGGAACAACTTCCCTTTGCCGTAGCAGCTCCTTCTCGTACATCTTGCACACTGAATTGAGCTGGAAGGGATACAAGGTGGATACTACTCCCCTAATGGGAAATTGATCTCTGTAGTAGCAATTGACAAGGCCCTTTATCGTTTCCTCAGAAGAAGGAATTTCACATGGGGGAACAAACTTGTCATCTTTATAGCTTGTGAGGTCAGGAGGCGTGATGCCATCGTACACTCTCTTGACCACTGTTTCCAACAAAGGTTGCAGCCCTAAAGAAGGTGTGCCGCAGAATTGACCATCCAACCACCTTTGGATGTGAAATGCCTCGTGCTGGCTCACAGGCTTGGTGCTTCTGCCTGTCAATGGCACAATGGCACGTCTGTGCCGCAGTTGACCATGCCATGATTCGGCAGTAAAGTCCACCACCTCACGCAAAACCAGCCAATTCAGTCTATAGATTCGTTTCAAGCGGGTGTCCAGGGCGAGTCGGCTTCTCCACAGCTTGACAAACCGGGCCCCTTCGATATCGTTGGGTACACAGTATAGCCTGACTGTGTAGACGGCTGGGGAAATGCAGTGGGAGACTCTGGCCAACCCATCAAGCTCAGGCAAGCTGGCTCTTTTATAGGTAGCCACAAAGAATCTGTGCCGTAGAAGCAGACTGAGAGCACGGATATGAGTGCTTGCCAGATTTCCAACACAGGTTTCCAAGAACCAGGGATCCACCCATTTCCACCTCGACTGGCCAGTGGCCATTCCCTCGTAGCCATATTGTAGACTATCTAGTCCAGTCACTAGTAGTGTTCCAACCGCTAGTAGGCCATCCAAGTCACCACAGATTCGACACACCTGTTGGGTTTCCAGGACCATCACAGAACAGTAGTGCACCAGGCATGCAGATGTGAGATGCGACAGATGAGATAAGAGAGGACCCTGTCAGTGTTCAGTACCCCGAAGGCCCGACGGGGATGACTTTTATAGAAACAGGGATTACTCGAGAGCGATGATTAAAAAAATCAATTTTAAGTGTTATCTCATTATCGAAGTGGAATTCTTCACTTTTGTGCCTGGTGCCCATTTGAGTGTAGTTTTTCCGGCACCGGGAACGTGCCCACTACGACCGAGCTTCCGAGAACCTTAATATCGCAACCGACAAGATCGAGACCCTAGCGATTTAACTTTTTGTTAAATGCCATTTTTTCATTCACCGCTTCTCTGCACTCAGAAACCTTAATTCTTGCCGCCAATGACAAAATCGAATTCGATAAGTAATCGGGCTCATCGACTGCACTGGTTGGCCACAATAAGGAAAGCGCCAGTGAAAGAAATGCATTACTCGCACTGGCTGCAGCCGTACGGCCATGGGGCTTCTACACAGCCATGACGAAAACTGTCAAATGGCTCATTTCGCCCAAAAGCGCATTAAAAGCGCCGTGACTCACAGGAATATATGAGGAGAAAAATGGCAGGGGATCTTTGCCACCATAACGCGATCTGTCACTGCGCTGTAATGCCTGCGGACAATGAGCCACACTGAAGCGAGGCAGATAACGCAGCGGGAATACGGCGGAAAGCGGCAGCCTCGGTTGGCTCAATTATAGAACCCCTTGCAGAATCCAAATTCAGCCATTGGTGGTTTTTCGTCATTTTGCTTTTTCCGGCCTTATAACCGGGATAGTGCCGTGGTTGGCCTTTACAAAAGGCTATCAGTGGCAGGCGAAATGTATTTTTTTTTTTTTCACGCCGCGCCGCTTATCTTCTCTGGGTGTCGCTTATATAACCACCAATTCTTCACACTCATATACCCGCTACAACTTTTTTTTTTTCCGCTGATCTCCCCAATTCATGTCTCAGCAGCCGATATTGGCTAATTTCAACGATGAGGTGACGTTGGTCCGGCCTAGCTGTTCCTTCGGCGACGCTATCCGCCAGCCTCTTTACAATCCACACAAAAGTGCCCCCAACCCATGTTTCCTAGCTTCTGCGCTTCTAATCACCCAGGGCTTGTTGGCCGTTGCAATCGCTTTCCAAACCCTTTTGCTCTTGGTCGGAAACCACTACGGGCCATACAAAATCAAGTACTCCTTCGGCAACCCATTCTTGGTGAAAAGTGTGGGTGTAGCCCACTTCTGGAAACTTCAACTGGCTCTCCTACAGGGCGTGGTAATTCTTGCTTTCGCCTACTTGAGCTTCGGAAATCCTGCCAATCTGGTGATCACTCAGTCTGCTTTGGCTCTGGCCGCTCTTCCACTCCTATTGGTCTTACCACTCCATTTCCTCGAATCCACCCGGTCTGTCGTGGGTCACGGCACCTTGTTGGTGTTTTGGCTCGTTTCCACTGCGTGGTGGCTTTTGATCAACGTCAATGACTGGTTTTCATCACACAAGGTATTCGTTCCTTCCCATGGAAAGGACCTCATCGCTGCGGTCCACACGGGAGAGGTTTTCTTGTTACTCAACTCTGCCTCGATCTTCGTGCTCGAAAACTCATACTACAAGCCTTCCAAGGAGTTGATTGAGTACTTTGATTTGAATGGCTGGGAGCCTTCTACTATCAGAAATATGGTGCAATTGTTGACCTTCACTTGGGTCAACCCTATGCTCAGAAAGGTCTACCACACTAATACCATCGAGGTGGAAGAGGTGCCTAGTGCAGAGGTTGAATTACAAAGTGAGGTTACTACCGAGACTTTCCGTCGTCTCTGGGCCGAAGAGGTCGCCAGGGCTACCTGGTGGAGAGACAGGAGGGTCAGAAATGCCAAGGAACCAACCGAAGACCAGAAGAAGGTGAAGCCGCTCTTGATTCTTGTGGTTTTGAAGATGTTCTGGTTCACTGCCGTTCAAGGCTTCACTTTCCAGGTTTCGGAAATCATTTCCAATACTTCTGTGCCTTTCTTCCTTCAAGCATTCATAAAGTACTTCACCACTTTTGTTGCTGCCAGAGAATCTCAAACAGAAACTCCTCCTTTGATCACAGGTTTCGTTTTATCCTTTTTCATTTACGGTGCTTCAGTTGTTCGTTACTTCTCCTTTAACCAACTATTCATGTCATTTTTCCGTATCAGTTTCGGTGTTCAATCCGCTCTTACAACCATGTCCTACGACAAAGCATTGAAATTGTCTCCAGATTCTCGGAGAGAAAAGAATACCGGTGAGATTGTTAATCATGTTGCCGTTGATGTGGGAGTTATTGCCAGATGTCTTGAAGTTGTCACCGATGCTGTGGTGATTCCATTTAGGTTGGTTTTGTGCTTGGGAGCTTTATACAAGCTTTTGGGCAATTCAACCTGGGCAGGTCTCGCTGTTGCTCTTGTGATGGTGCCACTTTCTTCGATGGTCAGTGTTGCTATTTTTGCATTGTTCAAGATCCAGATGGAATGCAAAGATGAGAGAACCAGACTTACTTCCGAAATCCTCAACTCCATCAAGTCTATCAAGTTGTACTCTTGGGAGAAGCCAATGTTGAAGCGTTTAGACGAGGTCAGAAACAACAAAGAATTGAAGAATGCTAAGCAGACAGGTATTTGGAATGCTGGTGCCACCTTTGTTTGGGAGTGCATTCCTTTCTTGATCTCATGTGGTGTTTACGGTGTGTTCGGCTTCTTCAGTAAGTCACCACTTACCCCTGCTATCATTTTCCCAGCTCTTTCCTTGTTCGATCAACTTTCAGATCCTATCATGATGATCCCTGGTATTTTCTCCCTGATTGCAGAGGCCAAGGTTTCTTTGGACAGATTGCAAGAATATTTCAGCATGGATGAGATGGAAGAAGGAATTGTCACCCGTATTCTGAAACCTCTCAAGAAGGGCGAAGAAAGTGTACGCATCTCCAACGCATCATTTGTTTGGTCTCAAAAGGACGCTGATAAGCCCGAAGCTGAGCGGACCTATGCTTTGAAGAACATAAACTTCAAGGCCAGAAAGGGAGAATTGACATGCATCGTTGGTAGAGTGGGCTCTGGAAAGACAACACTTCTCAAGTCAGTTGTTGGCGAGATTCCGGTGGTACACAATGATGATTCAAATATCACTGTGAATGGCAACATTGCTTATTGTGCTCAGAATGCTTGGATTTTGAACTCCTCCGTCAGAGAAAATATCATCTTCGGCAAACGATTCGACAGAGAATTCTACGACAAGACTGTCGAAGCATGTCAATTGAAGCATGACTTTGAAGTCTTGCCTCATGGGGATGCCACACTTGTTGGTGAGAAGGGTATTTCGCTCTCAGGTGGCCAAAAAGCTCGTTTGTCGTTGGCCAGAGCTGTTTACTCAAGAGCCGACATCTACTTGTTGGACGACGTTTTGTCTGCGGTTGATGCTCATGTTGGTAAAAGAATCACGGAGGCTGTCCTTTCGTCGAGCGGCATGTTAGCCTCAAAGACAATTATCCTTGCCACCAACTCCGTGAAGATTTTGAAGCAGGCTCTGGAGATCTACAACCTCAGCAAAGGTGAAATTACTGAATTTGGCTCTTATGAATCATTGATCGAGAAGCAGTCGGATGTTGCCAAGCTTATTGCTGAGTTCTCTGATCACCATGATGCTCTGGCAGAGGACACCGCCCGCGAGCTGTCAAGCGAATCAGAAGTTGAGGAGCTTCCTCAGCCATACGAGCCGACTGCCTTGAGAGAGGCTGAAGATTTTGGTGAAGACGTTCCCGTGCCATTGGTGAGAGTTTCGAGTCAACAAACCATTGGAAGGGCCTCTGTGGTTTCTTTCGACCATAAGTATCAGTTTGAAGAGGAATTCGGTAAGTCCCAAAAGGAGGATGAAAACAACGAAAGAACTACCAAGGGTAAAGTGAAGCTTGATGTCTATATCGAGTATATCAAGGCGTGCAGATACCCCATCATTATTGCTTGGTCGTTCTTATCGGTGGTTATCGCTGCTACCGAGATTTACGGAAGAGTTATCTTGAAGGAATGGTCCGAGAAGAACTACAAGGAGGGACACAATGTGAAGCCAGCTCTTTACTTGAGTCTTTATGCTTTCACAGGTGTGTTGGGTGGTGTCATTAACTTCGCCAACAGTTACATCATTTGGACTTTCAGTGCAATTCACTGCTCAAAATACTTCCATGATCGTATGGCTAACAGTGTCTTGAGAGCTCCAATGTCTTTCTTCGATACTACTCCAATGGGCAGAATCTTGAATCGTTTCTCGGATGATATCTCCGTCCTTGATAACCAAATGCTTTGGATTTCCATCACGCTCTTCAACAGTATCATGGAAACGTTGATCAGAGTCGGAATTGTTGTCTACAACTTGCCTATCATGATCATTATCCTCCCTATTCTTATGGTGATTTTCATTCAGTTCAGGAACTGGTACATTCCAACTTCTAGAGAACTTAAGAGACTCCGTTCCTCCTTGAGATCCCCAGTGTTCTCTCATTTGCAAGAATCTATCAACGGTGCTGAAACCTTGAGAGCTTACAACGAGAACGATAGATTCATCCATGCCAACAAGAAGAAGGTCGACAACGTTATCAAAGTGGACTTTGTCTCGCAGAATGTGAACCGTTGGTTGTCCATGAGACTTCAGTCTATCGCAGCTTTGGTTGTTTTGGCAGCCAGTTTGCTGACTCTTCTGTCTTTGGTGTCCAAGAAACCTTTTTCACCAGGTATGATTGGTTTCCTCATGACATATGTCTTCTCCTCCACCATGTTCCTTAACGCCATTATCAGAACTTGGTCTGAAGTCGAGATCAGGTTGGTCTCAATTGAGAGACTTATCGAATACGGAAACTTGCCTTCCGAGGGTCCTGAAGTTATTGAGGACAAGAGACCAGAGGAAAGTTGGCCCAGTAACGGTATTGTCAGATTCAATGACTACAGCACGAGCTACAGACCAGGTCTTCCTCCAGTTTTGAAGAATATCAATCTTGAAATCAGACCATCCGAGAAGATCGGAATTGTTGGTCGTACTGGAGCTGGTAAAAGTTCCTTGACATTGGCATTGTTCAGGATCATCGAGGCTACTGAAGGTAATATTGAGATCGATAACCTTAATACCAGCCTGATTGGTCTTCATGATTTGAGAAGTCAGCTCAATATTATTCCCCAGGATGCCCACGCTTTTGAAGGTACTGTTAGACAGAACTTAGACCCATTCGATCAGTATACAGACGAAGAACTCTGGAAGGTACTCGACTTGGCACATTTGAAGGCTCACGTTGAATCTATGAAGACTGAGCCAAAGGAGGATGACAAGAAGGACAAGAAGGGTGCAAATGAAGAGCCTGAAGAGCCACAGGTGGGTCTCAAAGCCAGTGTGTTAGAGGGAGGCTCGAACCTTTCCTCCGGTCAGAAGCAGTTGTTGTGTCTTGCAAGAGCACTTTTGAAGACATCGAAGGTGTTGGTTCTTGACGAGGCAACAGCGGCTGTGGATGTGCAAACTGACAAGATCATCCAGGAAACCATCAGATCTGAGTTCAAGGACAAGACAATTTTCACCATTGCTCACAGATTGGACACCATTATGGATAGTGACAGAATCCTTGTTCTAGACAAGGGCCAGATCAAGGAGTTCGACACACCCAAGAACCTTCTTCAAGATGAGACTAGTGAATTCTACTCTTTGTGCAAAGAAGGCGGTTACCTTCTGAAGATCTCCGAGATTCAATCTAGTTAAATGCTCCATCTCCGATCACCGAGCGGGTGCATTTCTGTCGACAATAACTTCAGTTTCGTTTCGTAAAGACCACTCAGTTACTCGTGCCAAACAGATTCAATTAATTAAACATTAGAAAATATAATAGAAGTTACCACAATCGTAGAAGAGTAGGTCACTAGCCACCGTGTGGGCTTGCTTGATTATACAGGACAGGAGCACTGATAACGACACCGCCTGAGAACCACCACCCTAGCAGACTCTTCTGAACTTAAACACAAGCATGAGGACAAACCTTCTTCTAGTTCCTACCAAAAAAACGGACGATGTCAATTGGGTCAAACCCATTAACAACTACCTCCTATCGATTTACGGCAACACGTCGGAGTTTCAGCAAGATCTCAATAACTTCAACAAGCTCAGACAAGATATCAGAGGTGTCAATGCTGATACCACAGGAATCAGGTTGTACTTCAAATACTTCAGTCAATTGGAGCTTTTGGACTTGAGAATTCCGGTTGCAACGGTGAACAAGCATAAAAAGATCACATTCACCTGGTACGATGCTTTCCTGCCCTCGGCTCAACACAAGCAGTACGCTTTGCCTTTCGAGAAAGCAGGTGTTCTCTTTAACTTGGCATCCTTAATGCTGAAAGCTGCCAATATCAAATACAACGAGTCACAAGGACTGTCCGCCACAGATGACAGCGCTTTCAAAGAAGCAGTACAATACCTCCAGCAAGCTGCTGGTATTTTTGACTTTGTGGGCGAAAGCTTCTTGCATGCCCCCTCCAATGATCTCAATCCAGCCACCGTTAAGTTTTTGAAGGATCTTTGTTTGGCCCAGAGCCAGGAGATCTTCAACCTCAAAGTGATAGATGGCGATCTAGAGCAGAAAAAGAACTCGCTCATTTCAAAGCTTTGCAAAAGCACTGCTGTGCATTACGAAAACTGTTTTAGTAACTGCAGCCATCTTTTGAATGCTGATCCTTCTTCGCCCGAGGATCAATCAACCTTCGCAATAGTTGAGGCTGGCTTGGACGACGACGATCTCGAGGACATCGAAGATCCGTTGGATGAATACAACCCAGCAAAGCAAGGGATCCCCGAGTCGAGGGTAACAGCTCGTCTTGACCCCTTCTGGGTTGCTGTTTTACAAGTCAAGTCACTCTACTACAAATCCTTATCATACTACTTCCAGGGACTTCAATTGGAAGCCACCCACAAGTACGGAGAGGCTATCGCTTATCTTTCAAAATCTTTGGAGGCAATCAATGAGGTACCCCAGGCCAGTTTGAAAAGAATTTCCAAGGCTGGCAACGACAATGCCTACGATGTTTTGGATAACCTCAAGTATCACAAGGATGCTTTAGAAATTAAGATCCGAGAGCTCAATAAAGATAACGATCTTGTTTACCATGAAATTGTGCCATCATTGGTCACATTGGCGGAACCAAAGCCTATGGATAGCTCAAAATTGATCCCAATGAATAAAATCGAGCTTTTTGCCCAAGTGAACGAGCAGAGTTATGAGAACTTCCTCAAGAATGTTGTGCCTATGAACATTCACGAGCTTTTGAGCTACTACTCTGAGGAGAAGTCGCAATTTTTGAGGAATGAATTGGACGAAGTCGACGTTTCAAATGAGGAGCTTTCATCAGTATTAGAGTATTTGAAGTTGCCTAAAGCTCTCACACATATCAAAGAGATTCTTCGGACCGACGAAACCCTCAAGTCAGGCTCTTCGGACCAATCATTAGATCCAGCATTGGCTCAAAAGGTGGACGACATCGCATCGAAGTACTCTCAAGACACGACCAACCGTACCACGATCTCCGAGCTCAGGTCCAAGATACTTGCCGCAGTTGGCGAAAGTGAGGCTATTTTGAAAGAACTGTTTTCCGAGAATTCCAGTCGCTTCCGTGACGATTTGATCAAATTGAAGAAAGCGCTTTACGACGCTGCAAATTCTGATTCCAAATTGTTTGCTCTCGTGGATGCCGAAAAAAGCCTGCTTCATGCTCTTTTGAGTAAGGGTAGCACGTCTCGCGAGTTCAAGTCCCTCTTTGATGTACCAAAGAGTGGCACTCAGGCACAGCCCTCCGAAGAAATCAGTTTACTAGACATGGATGAATCGCAGATCTCCGATGCAAGCCACAACGGTCAGATTTCTGTTCTAGAGGACATTTTGCACAACCTCAACGTTCTCAAGACAAACAAGAACAAACTTGTGGATAGGTTGAAGGAAGAAATTCACAGCGATGACATTTCTGAAATTTTGATGCTCAATAGCAAGGTGAAGCTGACTAACGAGATCAAGTCCATCATCTTTCCAGAGGAGTTGAAAAAGTTTGAAGTGTTCTCGCAGCAGTTGGATGATTTGATCAAAAAGCAATCGTCTTTGATAAATGAACTTAAGGAGAAGTGGACCAAGCTTAGCTCCAATCCAAAAATTAAGGAGGTCCAAAGCTCCAAAACCTTCCAAGACGAAGTATTCAAACAACAGACTCACCGTATCAATGACTTTTATGACAACCACTGGAAACGATACTCGTTGGGCTTGGGAAAAGGGGTGGAGTACTACATGCAATTACTTCGAATGGCCGAGAATCTCAAACGTGCAATTGAATCTGATAAATCCAACTCACTAAACGATTCTATGAGCAGAATGAGCCTTGGTGCAAGCTCCACGGGTGGATCTAACTCATCTCATCAGTTCTTCTCATCATACCGTGGAGAGAACCAGCAAAATCCTGCTCAATCGTTTGCACAGTACAGCCCTTACAATCAGGGTGTCCCCAGTGGCCAATCGCTGCACCCTAGTCTCCAACAACCACCTTTGCAGCCCACTGGAGGCGATGCTCACCAATCGCAGCAGCAATATGGAGCCTCCTCGGGCCACGGCTCTTATTCTCGGCCGGCACCTGCTCTTCCGCCGAAGAGGCCAAGCTATTCCGGAAATAGCCAACTTGACGGAAATTATGGAAATGCTACCGCAGCTTCAACTCAAGCGAAGCCGCAAAATTCTGGTGGACTCATCTATGATGAACCCTCAACGTACCAGCCGAATATGTATGACTTCTTCAAAAGATGAACGCCAGATGGACGGCTGAGTGATTGAAAACGTCTAAGTATGCTTTAGTTTCATGTTTAGGCTCCTAATCTGAGCGAGATTAACGACTGCCGCATCCATGTCAAACATACTGCGCGTCTATAATTTGCAGCCAAATAGTTTAATTTTAGCTCACAGGTAGAAATTTCGTTTCCTAATGCGGATAAATGACAACACGTCTCGGTAGCGCGCGACTTCACACAGGCCAGATCTGGGTCTTTTTAAGACGATGGCACAGGAAAAGCACCGTGATCGTGGCTTGGCACATTGTCTTAGCGAATTTCTTGAGAAATCTGGTGAGAAACTTTGATTACTTATATCTGCATCGCTCTCGCTTAGTTCCACAAGCCTTTCTTAAAGCCAACCTTAACGCAAAAAGTTTTTCATCACTGAAAGCATAAACGCAATGAAGGCTTACTTCGCTTTATGTCTAGCGTTTTTCGCTAGTTTTGCTGCTGCTGCGGACTGGAATCCAACCTACTGTAATGAAACCACCAAGTGTCCTGAGGACCTTCCATGTTGTTCCCAGTTCGGCATGTGTGGTACTGGTTCTTACTGCTTGGGTGGTTGTGACATCCGTCGTTCTTTCAACATGTCAGCTTGTATGCCAATGCCCCGGATGGAATCTTTCGAGGAGTCTTTCAAGGATATTGACCACATTGAGAAGCAAAGTGAGTACTTGGGTAACTTCACTGAAGCTGACTGGGTGTACACCGGCCACATTGCCAACCACGACAACTCTCTTTTGTTGCAGATGCCTAATCAGTCCACAGGTGCTGTGGTGTCCAGTACCAGATACCTCTGGTATGGTAAGGTGGGTGCTACTATCAAGTCTTCCCGTGACAAGGGTGTGGTTACCGCTTTCATCACATTCTCGGACGTGCAAGATGAGATCGATTTTGAGTGGTTGGGTTACGACTTGGACAACGTGGAATCCAACTACTATTACCAAGGTGTGTTGAACTACACCAACCAAAAGATGCATGACATGTCCAACACTTTCGAGAACTGGCACTACTACGAGATCGACTGGAAGGAGGACGAGCTTCACTGGCTGATTGATGGTGAGGTTGTTCGTACATTGACGAGATCCGAGACCTGGAATGATACCAAGAAGGCATACATGTACCCTCAAACGCCATCCAGAGTGCAATTCTCTTTGTGGCCTGGTGGAGGTGCTGGCAACGCTCAAGGTACCATTGAGTGGGCTGGTGGTGAGATTGACTGGAACTCTGAGGACATTAAGAAGAATGGCTACTACTACGCTTACGTGAAGAACGTCACCGTGGAGACCTACGACTTGCCTAGCTTTGCCAAGAAGAACGTCAGCAACCTGACCAAGGGCTACCATGCATACTTATACAACTCCACCGACGCCAATGAGAAGAATGTCTTCTTGACCAAGGATAAGACCTGGTTGGGCAGTGGAGATGCCACTGGTTTCGACCCAGATAACGAGGAGACCGTGGAAACAACAACCTCCGGATCCAAGACTATCACCAAAACACTGGCCAGAAGCAGAACCGGTACTGTTGACGTGCCTACTGGAAATGGTAATGGCGGTGCTGCTGGTAACCGTGGTGGAACTACTTCTACCTCCGAATACACCGGAGGGTTCGTCCAGAACTCCAATGCCAGTGGTACCAGTGGATCAAGTGGTAACTCTGGGTCAGGCAGTAGCTCAGGCGCTCCATCTTACACTGTTGAACGCATTCTCGCCTTGGCTGCCGGTGTTGTGGGTGCTGTCTTTACCTTTGCTATCTAGGCATTGGACATTTTATGATATTCGTGTGCACAACAGAGATTTCGTTTTCCATACGTAATTTCTTCAGATTCAAGCAATAAATGCTAATGAGAAAAATGAAAGTCCTACAAATGTAGATATTTTGTTCGGTCAAGCACCAGCCTATGTGCTTAGCAGCCCACGTCCTGGGTGTTGCGTAAAGTATTGGTGCACGGGTGTGCGCCAAATTGACCACCGAATCGAAATTATGAAAAACCAAAACTTAGCAGAACTAACTCAATCCTCCTGAACAATCTTCCATCTTACAACAACCTTGGCAAGATGAAGATGCTCACCAAGTTCGAGTCCAAGTCCTCCAGGGCGAAGGGCGTTGCCTTTCATCCGAAAAGACCCTGGGTTCTTGTGGCATTGCACTCGCTGACGATTCAGTTATGGGATTACCGTATGGGTACCTTGATTGAGCGTTTCGAGGACCACGATGGTCCCGTGAGATCCGTTGACTTCCATCCTACCCAGCCCCTTTTCGTGTCCGGCTCCGACGATTACTCCATTAAGGTTTGGTCTTTGAACACCAGAAAGTGTATCTTTACTTTGAACGGCCATTTGGATTACCTCAGAACAGTCAGTTTCCACCACGACTTGCCTTGGATTCTTTCGTGTTCCGATGACCAGACTATCCGTATCTGGAATTGGCAAAACCGTCAAGAAATTGCTTGTTTGACCGGCCACAATCACTACGTTATGCTGGCTCAATTCCACCCAACCGATGACTTGATTGTGTCCGCCTCATTGGACCAGACTGTCCGTGTGTGGGACATCTCGGGACTTCGTAAAAAGCACTCGGCCCCAACCTCCTCAATGCGCTCGTTCGAGGATCAATTGCAACGTAGACAATTGCCTCAACAAGACATCTTTGGCAATGTGAACGCCATTGTTAAATACGTGCTTGAGGGCCATGACAAGGGCGTCAATTGGGCTGCTTTCCACCCTACGTTGCCCCTTATTGTCTCTGCTGGTGACGATAGATTAGTCAAGTTGTGGAGAATGAGTGACAGCAAAGCTTGGGAAGTTGACACTTGCCGAGGCCACACTGGCAATGTGCTCTGCTCCGTTTTCCACCCACATCAGGACTTGATTCTTTCTGTTTCTGATGACAAGACCATTCGTGTCTGGGATTTGAACAAGAGAACGCCCGTCAAGCAATTCAGAAGAGAAAGTGACCGTTTCTGGTTGGTTGCCAGTCACCCAACCATCAACTTGTTTGCAACATGCCACGATTCCGGTGTCATGGTATTCAAGCTTGAAAGGGAGAGACCAGCTCATGCACTCTTCCAGAACAAGTTGTACTTTGTGAACACTGAAAAGCAAATCCAGTCTTACGATTTCCAAAGAGAGGAGACATCAATGCCAATGTTGTCGCTTAAAAAGATCGGCAAGACTTGGTCTGCTATGAGGTCTTTGACTTACAACCAGTCCGACAATTCTATATTGGTGACACACGGTGAGGGTGACAACGGGATGTATGCCCTTATTGCCCTTCCGAAGCATGTTACTGGAGCTATAGAGCCAGCTGATATTCGCCTGGGTGAGGGTAACTTTGCTTGCTTCATTTCTCGTAACCGTTTTGTGGCCTTTGTTAAATCTTCCAAGGTCTTGTATGTGAAGGATACCAACAACAATGTTACCAAGACAATTCAGTTAGATTCATCTGTGATAGATGTCTTGTATGGTGGTCCAGGTCGCGTCTTGTTGGTGAAGTCCCACTCCATCATTAACTACGACGTCCAGCAAAGAAAGGAGTTGGCCGAATTGAGTATCAACAACGTCAAGTACGTTGCGTGGTCCAACGACGGCCAATACTTGGCGCTTTTGTCTAAACACACCATCTCCATTGCTAACAAAGACTTGCAGTTGATCACCTCAACCCATGAAACTATTCGTATCAAGAGTGCTGCTTGGGATGAGTCGGGAGTTTTATTGTACTCTACTTTGAATCACATCAAGTACACATTGTTGAATGGCGACAACGGTATCATCAAGACTTTGGACAACACTCTTTATATTACTAGAGTCAACCAGAACAACGTATACTGCTTGAACCGTGCTGGCCGTGTTGAGAAGCTTACCATTGACCCTACTGAATACAGATTCAAGAGATCCTTGGTGAATAAGAACTTCAACGAAGTGTTGCGGATCATCAAAAATTCCAACTTGGTTGGTCAAAATATTATCGCTTACTTGCAGCAGAAAGGCTACCCAGAGATTGCTTTGCAATTTGTTCAGGATCCTGAGACAAGATTTGATTTGGCTCTCGAATGCGGTGACTTACAAACTGCTGAGGTGGAGGCTAACAAGCTCAAAAACAACGGCATTTGGGAGAGATTGGGCCAGGAAGCTTTAAATCAAGGTAACATTGAGCTTGTTGAGAGAATCTACCAACAGTTGCAACTTTTTGACAAGTTGTCCTTCCTTTACTTGTACAAGGGTGACACTGAGAGATTGGGCAAGATGTCATTGATTGCCAATGCTCGTTCAAACCTCTCTTCTTTGGTGCAGAACACACTCTACAACAATGATGCACTCACAAGAGTTGATGCCTACATCAAGGCTGGTCAGCTTCCTTTGGCATACACATTGGCAAAGTCCAGTGGTTTGTCAGAGAAGGCCGAAGAGATTTTGGCCACTGCTGAGCTCACTGAGAACGACGTTCAATTGCCGGAAATTGACAGACCTGTTCAATTACCAACCCCAAGCCCTGAGGTATCCGGTAATTGGCCAATCAAAGAAAGTAACGCTTCGTTCTTCGAAACCGCTGTTGTTACTGGTCAGGTGGATGATTTGACCATTGAAGATGACAAGGGAGAGGATGAAGTCAAGAATGGCACCCCACTCGATTTTACAGATACTGCATTGGAGGAAGACCAAGACGATGATGAAGGCGGATGGGACATGGAAGACGAAGATCTCAATATTGACGATGACCTTGATGGCTTCGACGAGGAGAACATTGTTGGTGAAGACGAACCTGCTGCCACTAAGGTCGAAGGTGCAGATGGGGAAATTGCCTACTGGCTTCGTAATAACAAGACAGCTGCTGGTTATGTTGCTGCCGGTGCTTTTGACCAAGCCGCTTCTCTCTTACACAAGCAACTTGGTGTCGTGGATTTCGCTCCATTGAGGGAGCGTTTCTTGGAGGTCTACTCGAGTAACAAGTTGTACTTGCCAGGTTTGGATGAGTTGCCTGCCATGAAGGATTACATCAGAGAGGATAATGACGAGGACAACCCCAACAAGTTCAGACCACAAATTCCAGGCTACGACAGTTTGGAGGAGAAATTGAGCACAGCTTTCAAGTTCTTCAGAGTCAACAACTTACCTGAAGCTATACAGGCGTTCCGCAATATCATCTACACTATCGCTGTCATAAGTGTCCAGGATGAAGAGCAGGAGGCTAAGTGTGAAGACGTGTTGACCTTGTGTAGAGAGTACGTCTTGGGCTTGTCTATCGAGTTGGAGCGTCGTTCTCTCGATCCATCTGATGTGAAGAGAAACTTGGAGTTGGCCGCATACTTCACGAGAGCTAAGCTTCAGAATGCCCACAAGGTGAACGCCTTGCAGGTGGCCATGCTGGAATGTTTCAAGAACAAGAACTACTCCAGTGCATCATATTTCGCAGGCGAGCTCTTATCAATTGTCAACACTGGCCCCAAGGCTGAGAAGGCACAGAAGATCAGAGCGAAGTCCGACTCCATATCCAGTGATGCGGTGGAGATTGACTTTGACCCATACGCCGAGTTCGATATCTGTTGTGCATCCTTTACTCCAATTTACAAGGGCGAATCTGCAGTTACGGAAGCTTTGGTAAGCGCGAAATACAAGCCGGAGTATAAGGGAGAAGTTTGTCGCATCACCAAGATCACTAGCATAGGGCTGCCAGCATCAGGATTGCGTATTCGCGTCTGAGCACTAAAAGCGAGCCAGAAACGAAACAATTAGTTTAAAATCAAATCAAACAACGTATCAGAAAACAAATGTAGCACGTACATGCAAATGCCTAATCGAGCTACATCTGCGCGCCTAGTAAAAACTGAAAAACTCTATACTGAGAAAGAAGAAGCTGTATCTGGACCTTCATACTGCTGAGTTTAAGTTACCAAGAGCATGTCAGAGGCACTCAAGTGGAAGGACGATGGTAACAAGCTCCTTAAGGAGCAAAAATATAACGAAGCCATCGATGCCTACACAAAAGCCATAGAGCTAGATGGCACGAACCCCATCTTCTACTCCAACAGAGCACAAGTACATATAAAATTGGAGAACTATGGATCAGCCATTGCTGATTGTGACGCTGCTGTCAAAGCCGACCCTCTGTTCATGAAGGCTTACTACAGAAAGGGTGTTTCGCTCATGGCGCTTTTGAATTACAAGGAGGCACAGACTAACTTCAAGATAGTTTTGCAGAAGCTTCCAAATGACAAATTGACCTTAGAAAACCACAAGCAGTGTGTCAACTACTTGAAGAAGGAGGCCTTTGAAAAGGCTATCGCAGGAGATGAGAAACAGCTGGTTCTTTACGGTCTTGACTTTGATGGTATGCTCATTGAGAAACTGTGGGAAGGACCTCTGTTGGATATTAAAGCTATTAAGCTGGCCGACAAAAGGGAAGTTTCTATTGAGATCGGTGGATTGGATCAAGCATACTTGAAGTACATGATTGATCTCTTCAAGAAGGGAGGTAAGTTACCTAAGAAACATGTCTTTGCAATTGTTGCCAAAGTCAATGAGCTTCTTCGGAATGAGAATTCTATGGTCGAGGTAAGCTTGCCCCATTCCCAACTAGATGAGCTGATTTTGCCTGAAGATGAAATCATCCTCAAGAACGGAAAAAAGCTCACTGTTGTTGGTGATACCCACGGTCAATTCTATGATGTATTGAACCTTTTCCAGAAATTTGGCTTTGTTTCAAACGAGCATGTTTACTTGTTCAATGGTGATTTTGTCGACAGAGGTTCTTGGTCATGCGAGGTTGCATTGTACTTGTATGTGCTCAAGATCTTATACCCACAATCGCTCTTCATGAACCGTGGAAATCACGAAACAAACGATATGAACAAGACATATGGTTTCACCGATGAATGTGAAGCCAAATATTCAAAGAAGGTGTTCGAGGCCTTTGCCGAGTCTTTCGGTGCTTTGCCTTTGGCCACTTTGATCAATAGATCTTACTTGGTCATGCATGGTGGCCTTTTCTCCAACGACTCTGTTACACTTGATGATATCAAAAAGATTAACAGATTCCCAAGTTCAGGCTCCTCGCAGCCACCTAGAGAGGGATTGGCTATGGAGCTTTTGTGGACCGACCCTCAGCCCGAGAACGGCAGATCGCCTTCAAAGCGTGGGTTGGGTATTCAGTTTGGTCCAGACATTACAGAGAAATTCTGTGTGAATACCAAGATCCGCAAGATCTTGCGTTCTCATGAGGTAAGAATGGGTGGATTCGAAAACGAACACAATGGTAGACTTATCACGGTATTTAGCGCACCTAACTATTGTGACGCTACAGGAAACATGGGTGCCGTGGTTCACTTTACGGAGAATTCCCAATATGATAAGTCACAGGACAACGGAGAGGGTTACAAGGAAAGTGAGGAGAAAAACTGTCCATGGTCCCTCGAACTGGAGACATTTGAGGCTGTTCCTCATCCAGACATGAAGCCTATGGCTTATTCTAAGGCTGGTTTTGGATTTTAGTCTAAATCTTGTATTATAGTGTAATGATGCATCTAGAGAGGTATTTAATGGCTGCAAATGTATGCATGTGTAACCTATGGTCGACTTTCTCTGTGCTTTTTTTATCAATCCTTTGATGCTGGAAGCGAATCACGCCTTTTGACTTCGCCTGGCCTGTAATATTAGAATCATGCCTGAAACTGATAATAATTTGCTCATGAGGGATGTGGTGCAATCGTAGCGGCACGGGTTTGGCTACTTATATACTTTTCGCATAGTACTACTTTTTATCAACTAGAGTACTTTTTCCTGACATGAGCAACGAAGCAAATGATGAGCCAGATGAATGGGATCAAAGGATCATCAACACAGGCTGTTACGAGGAGAATTTAGCATTGCAGCTATGTCATGCCGACAAGGGTGATTGGCGCAAATGCCTAGGGGAGATGGAGGCGTTCCGGAAATGCTGGGATAAGAACAAAAATAATGATCGGACGAGCACCGTCGAGATAGAGCGGAAGGATAGGGAGTTGTAAATTGTAAATAGTTCATGTAAATACTGCTATCGCGATGTTCTGTAGAGAAGGCGTTGGACTTGGGGATCATGAAGACAGTCCGAGAAGTCCCACCAAATTGAATTAGGGCAATCGGTCAAGCAATCTGCCAAGTAATCGAAAGTAAATCGATTGATGATTCAAAGTGATCCAAAAGGGCAAAATTGTGCACGTGACTGTTTCTAAGGTTGTAATAAGAGACGAGACGCATCTCGATCAGCGTGTTTTCCAGCGTCTCACTCGGCATGCTGCCACGATTCGAGAGACTGATACTTCTCGATGAAGATACTGATGAATCTACGGTATCACCGTTCCTCAATCAGTCTCGTGTTACTGATAAAAATATGAGCGACGAGATTTCCAAACTCAAAACAGACAGTACCAAGAGATTCAAAGAGAAATGGGAGAAAATCCTCGAGAAATATTCGGCAATTGATGACGATCTAGAGTCAGACGAGATTGATCTTGAAACTGGAAAAATTACCATCGATAACGGTCACTTGCGTTCGATGGCTCCCAATGAGATCATCGTGGGAGGTGTCAAGGTTAATGGTGATATATGGGCTGACGATGACTCCTACGATAAAGCTTATAGTGATCAGAAACGCGTTCAAGCTCACCAAGAGAGACTACGAGAGAGGTTTGAAAATCACATTCGTCGTCATAAAGAAGGCTCGCCTCTAAAGAGAAGCGATGTGCCCAACGATAATCTTCATAATACATTCTTGAGTCCAACAAAGCGGCGTCAACCACAACTGCAAATTGATCAGGAAAGCACAGGCTGTCTCTCTCTATCTGATGAATCAGATGCATCGGATTTATACGCTTCACCTTTTCAATCATCGCGTATGGGCTCTGTTCCCTCGAGTCCGTTGAAACCCTCCTCATCGATTTCTCCAACGAAAAGGCTTCGAAAGTCTCGTCCACCGTACTGGTATAACTGTGCTTTTGAATACTGCTCATTCATTACAGAAGAGAAACTTGGATATGAGAACCACTTATTGGCAAAACACGCAGACGAGCTATCGTTCATAGGATATCCAGTGAAGGGAAATGAAGAAAGGATCAAATCTGTCATCACTGAGCTATGCACTAGAAAGCTTGCTCTACACTTTCCCTTGTCATTTGATTCGGAGGTCCAAGCATTGGAGAACGATACCGGAGCCTGTCCTCTTTTAGGATGTGGGTTCAGTGATAGCAGCGTTGCTCGATTAAATGGGCATATAAAGAAGGAGCATAAACCGATAGTGGCTAGAACAGGCTTCCCAAATACGGCATCGCGCTCCGCAAGACATCCAGATGAAACTCTGAAAGAAAAGAAATGCTCCTCAAGTAAGTCACCTACAGTTACACACGAAAAGGAAGACAGTTGTCTATACGAGGATTCGCTGGCGAATCACTCTAGCTTAGACATACCCAGCGCCCCGCCTTTCAAAATTATGGAGGATGTATCCTGCTCTTCAGAGGAAAAAGACGACAAAGTTGAGGGTTATGACTCCATTGATGAATTTTTCAATGATTAATAGAGGTCTATAAGGACTGTGTAATTCTATGTACAATATTAATGATGCTTAGATTAAGCAGTAGCCTCACCGCCGCTTTCCGAGGGTTTGTTGTCTTCGTCGGACAGTTTTGATTGGTCTCTGCCTTTGTATACGTCGTTGCCCTTGATATACTTGTCAAAAGCATCATTTCTCTCGGGGAAAGGACGTGGGCCAACTAATCTGATCATGTCTTCACGAGTTAAAACCTCTTTCTTGAAGACCTCCTCTGCAACTTTATCAACTAATTCAATCTTTTCAGTCAAAAGTTTCTTGCAAGCGTCGTAAGCCTCGTCAATAAAGCGCTTCACCTCTTCATCGATGAGTTTGGCAGTTTTTTCAGAGTAGGTGTTATGCACCTTGAAACCTCCTTGTTCATTACCAGTGTCGAAATAGATGCTACCGATCTTGTCGGACATTCCCAACTGTAACACCATCAGTTGAGCCATTTGAGTGATCTTCTTGAAATCATCTGAAGCTCCACTAGTCACCGATTCGAAGTGTAACTCCTCGCTAACTCTTCCGCCAAGTGCCATGATCATTCTATGTTTAAACTGCTCCTCTGAGACCAAATATTGGTCCTTGGGTAAGTATTGGGCGTAGCCTAAGGCACCTTGACCACGTGGAATAATAGAGACCTTCACCAACGGATCAGCATACTCCAAGAACCAGCCACAAATAGCATGTCCAGCTTCATGATATGCCACAGTCTTCTTTTCATCTGGTGTCAAAACTCTTGACTTCTTCTCGAGACCGGCGATAACTCTTTCGATAGCCAGTTCAAAGTGGTGAACGTCGACGGCAGTGTCATCCTCTCTAGCAGCGATCAAAGCACCCTCGTTACAACAGTTTGCAATATCAGCACCTGCAAATCCAGGAGTCAACGCAGCCAATCTTCCGGCGAGGTTATCAGTGGCTTCATCAATCAATTGTTGGTATTTGTTGAAATCAACATCACTTTGGGATGCTCTGATATCCTCAACGCATTTCAAAGTAAGCTTATTCAAGTGGACCTTGAAAATAGCTTTTCTTCCCTCGATGTCAGGTGTGTCAATCGAGACATGTCTGTCAAAACGACCTGGACGCAATAAGGCCTTGTCCAAGATGTCAACACGGTTAGTACCAGCGAGAACAACAACATGATCCGAGGCTTCAAATCCGTCCATCTCGACAAGCAACTGATTCAATGTGTTTTCTCTTTCATCGTTACCAGCAACACGACCGTTACCTCTCTCTCTACCGATGGCATCAATTTCATCAACGAAAATGATGGAGGGAGCCATCTCACGGGCAGTCTTGAACAAATCTCTCACACGAGAAGCACCCACACCGACGAACATCTCGACGAACTCCGATCCGGAGACAGACAAGAAGGGTACGCCTGCCTCACCAGCAGTTGCCTTGGCCAAAAGTGTTTTACCTGTACCTGGAGGACCAGACAAGATAGCTCCTCTTGGAATCTTGGCTCCGAGCTTCTCATATTTAACAGGATCTTGAAGGAACTTGACAAACTCCATGATTTCTTCCTTTGACTCTTCGCATCCAGCAACATCTTTGAATTTGATCTTGACATCAGTTTCTTGATTAAAAAGTTTTGCTTTAGATTTACCAATCTTGAAGATACCACCCGCACCGCCTGCGCCGCCTTGTGGTGCCTTCCGTACACTGATGTACCAGAGACCACCGATTAAGAGCACAGTGGGGAGGATGGGCATGATCATGTTGAGCCAGGAGCCACGTTCGATATAGGAGACTGGGAGCCTTTCCTGGATGGGGATACCTAGTTTGTCCTGGGTGGCATTCATCTCCTCTTCAAACACCTCCACGGAACCGATGGTGAAGACCACGAATGGGTTACCATTCATATCGCGAGAGGTCTCATCAGAGAAAGCTCCTGGGACAAGTTCGGCTTCAACAGCAAAACGGTTCACCACAGTGAGCTTCTTGACGAGACCCTTCTCTAGGTAGCGGGTCTTAAAGGCTTGGAATGATAATTCATCACGTTTGTTGGACTGTGACACGGTGGCGTAAAACGTTAGAGGGATCGTGAATAAAGTGCAAATCAATACAAGACTGAGGCCTTCCTTACTGAATAAAGAGGCATCTCTGCCTTTCTGCTTTCTTGAGGATTCCTGCTTTTGGCGCAACTCCTCTCTGAATTTCTTCTCCTCCTCTTTGTATCTCCGGGTCTCTGGATCTTCTTCTTCCTTTTCGGACTTCTCTTCTGACTTGGATTTGCTATCTTCATCTTTGCTCTTTTCTTCCTTTGGAGCTTTCTGTAGTCTGAGGAAAGACTGACTAAATTGGACTCTAGGAGCAGTCGAAAAGGGTCTGCCAGCCCTTGGAATAGCCAGAGGTCTAGGCCTCATTAGGCTGAGAGAGCTTATCGCTCGGCGGGTCATCAAACCACGCAACAAGCTCATTTTGATTGTGTTGGACGTATTAAGCGATTTGAGGTGAGGTCTTTCGCCTTCTAAAAAGACAAAAGGTGTGCACGTGACCTACCTGGCGATCGGTGAGTGCTAACCTACCCCAGGAATTGCTGCGAAAATTAGTGAGATTGGCGGTCCAGCCATGGGTAGTACCAATTATTTATTATTACCTACTTACGCTTCATGAACTCGTCCCAGGTGGTTTCGCAAATTTCCATGAAGCGTGCCTTCTTCTCGTCCAGCGAGAGATTTTTGTTCAAGATCTTGAACCGGAAGGTCAGTTTGTCCATGAAGGACATGGACCCGTAAATCTCGTCGCTCTCCTCCCATTTGCGGCGCATCTCTTCCATCTCTTCCTCCGTAGCATTTTGCCGGTCATCGGCGGTGACGCTGAAGCGAGCCTTTTGAGCCAGTGGTGGCTGCAGCGGTAGTGGTGCTGCTCTTTTCACATCATCAACGAAGACATCTTGGACTGGACGAGCTCTTTTGGAACCTTGCGCGGGTTGGACGGGTGGAGCGGTTTGTGGACCACTGAGCTTTCTTCTATCGAAGGGTATCTCTCTACGGTATGGTGTGACAACGAAAGGAGTGCCCAAGGGAGCCATGGAAAGTGGACGTCTGAAGCGCTGTACCATCCTGGGGGCAAAGTAAGGTCTGAGAGGTGCCAGTTTCAACCCATGGGTTTGGTATGAGTACATGCCTGGGTGTGCATTGGCAGCAGTGTATGGGCCACTACCGACAGCAGGATTATTGTGAAGCTTGAGCGGCTTGGGTACCCTATCACGCTTGAGAGAGCGGTTCTTCAAATGGGATGCAAGCCTGTCCAGATTGTAGGAAGCGCCAGGGCTCAGCTGGGTGCTGTCACACGCCAGGAGCGGAGATGAGGTTCCATTCTCTTCCTTGACATTGGGGAACAGGGTGGATGTTGAGGATGAGGAAGCTGAAGATTCGGCGGCAGAATTCACGGGCGTGTTCCCCGTGGATTGGGTGGGCAGAATCGGTTCGGACGTGTCGCCATTCTTCTTGGCCGCGATGATGCTAGACTGTCTGCGTTTAATGGACTCGCTGATACGGACGGTGTTCCTCATATCCTCGCTCATGGACAGCGTCGCTATCGGAGATACGATCTGGAGGATGGCATCGTGTCTCGCCGAGTCGTTGGCGAGCTTCAAGGAAGGCGGACGAGGACGAGGCTCGGGCATGATTTCGACAAAAGGAGGAAAACAGAGGATTATATGGCTCGTGCTGAGAAACGGTGAAAATCGGGCCCCCCTACGCCTTGTGTTTCAGAATGGCTTCTCTGTAGGAATGAAACAGGCGAGAATGGAGAAACCGCGCAGGGAATGCAGTGAAGGGCAGGGCCAGAAAAAAAAAAAAATAAGGAAAAATATCCCGAAGCCGGAAACACAAAGAAATGAGGCGTTTCGCTGCTTCAGCAAAGTTTGACGTCGAGATGGTATTGTTTGATCAGGAGGGATCAAACGAGGGAGCTGTCAGTGTCATTGGCGGATGTGGTATTTTGGATTTATGCATTTCGCAGCCGTTGCATGATGAAATTCAAGCTGGAGCTGGCATTGCAAACGAAGAAATAAAAGAAAACAAGTGCCACGGCCGGAGCGCATGAAATAGTGTCAACTGATCTACAAAATCAAAATATTCCAGAAGTCATGAATTTTGCGCTGGCGGCGGTGGGCCGGAATGCATGGCATTCCAAAACGGTTTTAGCGACGAATTCGGAAAGGATATTGGGTTAGAGACGAGGCTGAAGCGGCTTGCGATTTCACACGGAACTTCCGTGTGGGCGTGGAGGTTACGGCCTGCTATGCAGCAAAAACCTTCGATGCAAGCTCCAGCGGGCCGCTAATAAATGCTTACGAACAGATCTTTCTACTGCATGTATTCCTAGTCCTTCGGTTTCTTACTGAGTGAATTGTTCCCAGCCCGTTGGTCTCTTCAAGCCGTGCTGGGAGAAGAATTTGGGCGTGCAAGAGTAGCCTCTCCAGGTGAAATCGTCCTTAGGCTCACACACACACTTCTTGGCTTTACGAGTTTCTTCGTCCACGGGACAGTTGTGGAAAGGCACGTGCCAGTAACCCAAGTCGCCAAAGAAGTGCAATTTGTCTCTGGGGACGAAAAGCGAGGCACCGATCGAATGCACGGGCGCGTCACCCCATCTTTCGTAAAAGAAGCCTCCCTTCTTGTCAAGGTACTCAAAGTATTTCAGGTAGGCCTCCCCACGCCACAAGTCAAGCTTGGCAATCTCAAAGTTCGACCAGAAGTGACATCCGTTGTATGTCTTTCCATCGTCGTCAGAAATCCATGGCAAGTTGTTGTCCTTGGCGAGGTATTGAGGGTACTTCTCCATGAACTCACGGGTAGTCTCCCACAAGGTTGGGATGGTCTCCTTGTACTCAGGCAAAGAGATGGTCCATCCGTACCACTTGTCATTGTCCTTCATGTACTTGAAGATATCATAGTCGATGTCACAGAAGATCTTGATGTCTGGCTCAACACGCCAGTAGTACTCGTACTCCTTCATCAACTCGTGTCTGTAGAAGAAACCAGACTCGAAACGACACATGTGTCTGTAAGACTCGGAGCCACCATAGATAACCTTCTTCTGAACCATGGCCTCTCTGGCCAAGGCAGCCTTCTCACGGTCAATCCAGTCAGGGTAAGACCAGTGCTCCTTAGGGATGAGACCAAACTTGGTCTGACCAGAAACAACGGCAGAGACGGCAGACTTGAACTCCTCGTTGAACTCCTGATCGTTCAAGAACACCCAGTCGTAGTGGAAGTTCTTGTTGAAACGGTCCTCCACATGTCTGATGGACTGAAGGATAGAAGCTCTATCGGAGTTTCTAGCCAAGGTAACAAAAGTCGCCTTGATCTTGTTGGCGATGTTAGGGTTGGAGGCATCATTAGCAGCACCCTTGACAAGCTCTGGGGCAGCTGGAACTGCTGGGGCTGATGCGTCCTTCAAAGGCTTTTGCTCCTCAACAGCCTTCTGGTTTGGCTCGTTCTTGGGGATAGCCTGAGCTGGCGCCGACTGAGACTGTGGCGCCTCATATGTGGATCCCTTGGTGAGTACATAACCACAGAAGATCAAGACTAGCGCAAAGATGGCGAATCTGACCAACCTGGCGTTTGATCTTGGGGAAGCCATGTTGCTAGGAGTAGTGGGAAGAAAAATCGTCTCCAGACAGTCGCACTTTTACGTGTCTCCTTGCGCGCCTAGGCTGTGCACTCCCCAAATTGAGGGACCAGGGAGAGGAAAAGTTGAAAAAAACGCCTGAGGGACTTTTGAGAAAATGAATTGGCTACTAATTATAGGACATGCCTCCTGGTCCCGTAGTTTTTCAAGCTGGCGAAATACGCGATACGTCTAAACTCAAAATGTTTTTAAGTTCATGTGGCTGGTTGTTTCACTGCTTCCCTTGGCGAGAAGCGAGGCAAGACGGCTAATTGCTGGTTTGAGACAGGACATTCTCAACAAGGCAGATTGCAGTCACAACACGCCAAAAGACAAGAAAGCGACACGCTTTAAGGATCGGAAAATATGCGCTTCAAGTCCGCCGGTCTATCACTCTCATTACTATTGTTCACGCCTTTGTCCGGCCTCTTCGCTTAGGTGCCTCAGCGCACTCGACACGCTCTCTGCAGCACGGCGCTTCTATGTTTCCACAGTGGACTGCAATGCAGCTTCCTTACTGGTAGTCCACCCATTCCTTGGGCTTCTCGAGCTTCATTGCCTCGTAATACTTTTTACCACAACTGTATCCTCTGAATGTGAAGTCCTTATCTGGGTTACAATCGCAGCGGTGCTCAAAACGGAACTGAGGATTCAACGGACATTGAGTGTATACTCCGTGGTTGTATCCGACGTCCTCGAAGTAGTGGATCTTGTCCTTGGGCAAAAAAAGCGCAGCCGCAATGGAGTGAATAGGTGCGTCACCCCAGCGCTCGTAGAAAAATCCGCCTGTCTTGTCGAGGTAGTCAAAGTAGTCTCTGTACGCTTGTGACCTCCAGAACTTCAACGAAGCCACCTCGAAATTGGACCAGAAGTGGCACAAGTTGTATGTCTCACCGTTGTTGTCACTAATGAACTCCATGAAGTTGTCCTTGGCGATATGCTGTGGGTATTTCTTGATGAAGTCCTTTGTGTGTTGCCACAACAGGGGAATTGTCTTCTCAAACTCGTGAATGGAAATTGTGAATCCGTAGACCTTGTCATTGTCTTCCATGTACTTGAACAAATCGTAGTTCAAATCACAATGCACCTGGATACCTGGCTCGACACGCCAGTACCAGTCATACTCATCTAACAATGGGTTTCTCCAGAAGAATCCACTCTCAAACCGACACATGTGTCTATACAGCTCGGAGTCTCCGTAGATGATCTTCTGAGCCTTCATGTCCGAACGAGACTTGGCAGCTTTGTCCATGTCGATCCACTCTGGGTAGGACCAATGTTCCTTTGGGATTTCACCGTACTTGGCATTTCCAGAAACGATGGAGCTTGTCAAGTCCTTGAACTCTTGCGTGAAGGGTTTGTCGTTGAGGAAGACCCAATCGTAACGGAACTTGCGGTTGAATCTGTCCTCCACATTTCTAATTGCCTTGATCAAGTCGTACAATTCTTCATTTCTAGCCAAAGAGACGAATGTGGCTTTCACTCTGTCGCCAGGGATCAAACAGTCGCCAGGCTGCTTACCCACCTGCTCTTGCGAGCCGATCTGCTGAAAGGCAGCGTTCTCCTCTTTGGAATTGTCTTTGATGGAAGGGGCATCATTGTTAGTCACTGGCGGCAGCGCAGGAGCGGGCGGCAGCACAGGAGCGGGTTGTTTCTGGAAATCAGACACTATTTCACCCGTGGCCTTGTCCACATAGACTATGCTTCCATTCAGGGTATGATTAGAAAGCAAGTACATAAACAACAAGGCGACCGCCGATGCGATGGCGACGACAAGCCGCTTATTTTGCGGGATCCGGGCGATCATGCTGATGCTGGTCTATAAAAGAAAAAGGGTGCTTATCGACGAATTGGTCAGGGACGTTTTTTGGACCAGTAGGCTGTGTGAAGGCAGGGCTCGCTAAAGCGCAGGAACATTGCTGCCCGGGAGCCGGATCGAAACGAAAGATGCAGCAGGTTTGCAAAGTCCAATCAGGTATAAGAGGATTGTGGGAATGCGCTCATTTGAATGGCGAAATCCACCTGGAGGTTGTTTGTAAAAAAAAGTCGATTTAACAACTATGGCGCAGGTTTGACAGGTTCCCGTGCAGAATGGAAGAAACTACTGTGCGAGCATTGTTCCGAGAGGCACCATCTTAAAAGGGGAGTCCAATTTCTGGGCGACATGCATCTACAGTGTTCTAAACTAGGGGTACGGTTTGGATCTCGATTCCACGATTTGTGTTAATAATTGAAGCAGATCGGGTTGCCCCGGCCGAGGCTTGCGAGATCTGAAAGAGTGCCTTGAAATTTAAGATCGGCTTTGATAATCCTTAAAGTCAAATCTTGGCTTCGGGTAATCGGCCGGGATTCATAACTGTTCTCCTTGAAAGATGCAGTGGCTATAATTGGAGTCGAACAGACCCGGGGGCAATGACAGGGTGGCATTTAGTTTAAAGCCTGGGAGATCTAAGGACCGAGGAAACAATAGAATAGTGGCTTGGTAGGCTTTTTATAGGAACAACTCTGGCGCACTGGTGACGTAGTTGGGCGATCAAAAAGGAAGTAACCCATACGACGACTGTGGAAGACTCAGGTGTAGATGAAAGCGGTTTATTAAGTAATTTGTGATCCCGTTACAGCGCTTGGGGTATTAAAGGCATCGAAACACCTTGAGAGCTCAGGAAAAACGTGGGGTATACCTTCAAAAGTGCAGTCTGTAATCGAGAAATATCATCTCTCAAGCAAGTGTCAATTACGGCTACTTACCATGGTTCTAACTACTCTTCACTTGCTGCTGTGTTTTGGATATGATTAGAGTGAGCTGTTATATGAGCTTGCAAGGAAAGACGAGCGATGGGTCTAGACCAATTAGAAACACAACCTTTTCCAAACAAAAGGTTTGATAAAGTGCCTGGATTTTATTTGTAAAACGTTATGGAATTCAATCTTATTTTCGAGACTATTGAGCATCTTTAATATCAGGTTCGGTATAATCCATTGTATGAGTACTTGAGTCTTGTTCAAGCTGGTTTTTGGCTCATCTATCAATTCATGTTTCTTTCGAAATTGTTTGGAGAGCCAAATTAAATTGTTTCCTGACCATTAACAGTTGTACGTGAATCATTTTATAGTAGCCTGGGGCCCAACTCAGAATCACCTGCATAGTGACATCTCTTAAGTATGGCAAGATACTCTATCACCAATTGCCCTCAACTCCACATACCCAATTAAATCATGATCATTCGATTCAGATCCAAAAATGGTATGCTTAGGGTCAAGGCTGAGCCCTCAGACCAGTTTCTGACTCCCTTGACAGAAGTGGTTTCCAAATGGGCCATCCCTGACCCAAAGCTGATGTTCATAAGCGACAAGCCAAACGATAAAGGGACCTCAGTCGCTGAGCTAGCCGAGAAGTCACTTGGTGACCTAGGCCTTAAGAATGGCGATATGCTTTTCGTGACTTATGACTCCGGTGAGCAGGAGAAATCTGCTTCAATAGTACCAGATCGCCACCAGACGATACCTGTGAGAGATATCACACCAGCACCTAAGGAATCCGTTAAGCAGCACCCCGTCGATGATCTTCTTGACGCACAGGATGGATTAATCAAGAGGCCAAAGTCAAGCTTCTGTAAGCATGGCGACAAGGGAATGTGTGAATACTGTTCTCCATTGCCGCCTTGGGACAAGAACTATCTCAAAGAGCAAGGCATCAAGCACAAGTCGTTCCATGCATATTTGAAGGAAATGAACGAACAGCAGAATAACAAGAGCAAGGCCTCGTCTTATATTTCACCCTTGCAGGATCTAAACTACGCCATCAACTTGCATTGTCCAGGAGGCCACGCCCCATACCCAGGAGGAATCTGTTCCAAATGTCAACCTGCCCCAATTACCCTTCAACAGCAACCGTTTCGTATGGTGGATCATGTGGAGTTTTCTGATTTTTCTCTTCTTAATAATTTCATCGATGTGTGGAGACAATCAGGTGTCCAGAGATATGGCGTGCTTTATGGTAGGTACGAAGCATTTGAAAAAGTTCCATTGGGTATAAAAGCAGTTGTCGAAGCAATTTATGAGCCACCTCAGCTGGGCGAGTTTGACGGAATTACATTGCTCGATTGGCCGAACGAACAGGATGTTGATTCCACAGCTCAAGCCTTGGGCCTTCAAAAAGTCGGCGTCGTGTTTACTGACTTGACCGATTCTGGCCGCAGGGATGGAACTGTTTTATGCAAACGTCATAAGGAGTCCTACTTTTTGTCATGTCTCGAAGTTCTCATGGCAGCAAAAAATCAAATTGCTCACCCAAACTACAGCAAATTTTCTGAGACTCGGGATTTCTCCTCCAAATTCGTCACATGCGTTATCACAGGTAATCAGAAAGGAGAAATTGAGCCTCACTCATATCAAGTTTCTAGAAGCGCTGAGGGACTTGTGAAGGCAGACATCATATCTGCCTCTACTCATCCAAACATGCTTTGCATAAACAAAACACAGGGATCAAGATACGTGCCTGATGTGTTTTACTCTAAAATCAATGAGTACGGATTGGAGGTGAAAGAGAACGCAAAGCCGGCTTTCCCTGTTGAATTTTTATTGGTGACTTTACTGGATTCGTTTCCCTTGGATCCAAAGCCGATGTTCAGACTTGATTTTGTTGTTGAAAACAGAGACTTCCTCGGCGAGCTTCAAGATTTGAAAGCTGTCCAAAGGCAAATTCAGCTGGGAGGCGGCGATGGAAGCCTGCTCATTGATTTCCATTTCTTGGTCTACTTGCGAAAGATGGGAATCCTTAGCAATGATGAGCTTGATTGTCTCTACCGCTACGCAAAGGATAAAAAAGATGAAGACTATTTACAATTGATCGAGTCTGGCGGTTGGATGACTTTGTTGACGGTGTTGGAGCAGAGCACTCACTGATGATGATCTCTTTCATATGCACCTGAAGCGAAAGTTAGAGATTTGAAGGGATGTCAGTCTGAGGTGGAAACGGGTGTTAAAAGAAACTTGAGTTGTCAAGAATGACTTCACCTTTTGACTGACTCGGTCTGCCTAAGAATGGGGCCATATCGGCGATCTTAGCTCGGTGCAGTCTGAGCATTTCGTTGGACCCTACTTGCCGAGACCTCTGTGTGAAGCTACCATGCACAATTTACTTTGTATACAGTACTGCGTACCGTTAGCATGAGCGAAGAGGTGAGAGAGCGGGCTTAATATGGCATAAAAGATCAGCGGAGCTACTCATATAGGTTTAGTGACCCTCAAATTAGGTACTAGCTATTTAAAATGCCCATTTACTTTTTTATTTGAGTAAAAAAAAGCTTCACACGTGATAGATCGTTCTCGAATCTTCTAGATGAGTCGTGCGCGGACGAAGTAGTTTTTCGCATAGTATATGAGAGTTCGCCTCAGCGCTTTTGTATTATATACTACGTGATACTACCACGAGAATAACTTAATTTAGAGAAATCAGAATGGCTACTCCATTTGGTGTCGACTTGGGTAATGACAACACCGTCATTGCCTGCGCAAGAAACAGAGGAATCGATATCATCGTGAATGAGGTTTCCAACCGTTCCACTCCTTCTTTGGTTGGTTTCGGCCAGAAGAATAGATTTATCGGCGAGACCGGAAAGAACCAGCAAACCTCCAACTTGAAGAACACTGTTGGCAACTTGAAGAGAATCTTGGGTTTGAACTACAAGGACCCAGACTTCCAGGTTGAATCTGAATACTTCTCTTGTGGATTGGCTGAGAACGACCAGGGTCAGATCAACGCCAAGGTTAGATTCTTGAATGAGCCTCAGGAGTTCACCTCCACCCAATTGGCTGCCATGTACTTGAACAAGATTAAGGACATCACCGTCAAGGAGACCAAGGGCAACATCGTGGACATCTGTTTGTCTGTCCCAGTGTGGTTCACCGAGAAGCAGAGACGTGCTGCTTCCGATGCTTGTAAAATTGCTGGCTTGAACCCCGTGAGAATTGTGAACGAGGTCACCGCCGCCGCCGTCGGGTACGGTGTTTTCAAGCAGAATGAGTTGCCTGAGGACAAGCCAAAGAATGTTGCTTTCGTCGACATTGGCCACTCTTCCTACCAGGTCTCCATCGCTGCTGTCAAGAAGGGTGAGCTCAAGGTTTTGGGTTCTGCTTACGACAAGCACTTCGGTGGTAGAAACTTCGACCGCGCTATTGCCGAGCACTTTGCCGATGAGTTCAAGGGTAAGTACAAGATTGACATCAGAGAGAACCCTAAGGCCTACTACAGAGTTCTCACTGCTGCTGAGAAGTTGAAGAAGGTCTTGTCTGCCAACACTCAGGCTCCTATTAACATCGAGTCCGTCATGAACGACGTCGATGTGTCTTCCTCTTTGACCAGAGATGAGTTGGAGGAGTTTGTCCAGCCATTGTTGGAGAGAATCAACGTCCCTATTGAGGTTGCCTTGAAGGACGCTGGTCTCACCACCGACGACATTGACTCCATCGAGATCATTGGTGGCTGCACCAGAGTTCCAAGCTTGAAGAACAAGTTGTCTGAGATCTTCGGCAAGCCATTGTCCACCACCCTCAATCAGGACGAGGCTATCGCCAGAGGTAACGCTTTTATTTGTGCCATGCACTCGCCAACCTTGAGAGTCAGACCATTCAAGTTCGAGGACTTCAACCCATACTCCGTCTCCTACTTCTGGGACAAGGAAGAGGAGGATGACGACCACTTGGAGGTTTTCCCAAGAGGCGGTACCTTCCCATCCACCAAGATCATCACCTTGTTCAGAAAGGGTGACTTCGACGTCGAGGCTAGATACACTAACAAGAACGAGA